GACTCCAAACTTTTGAATGTTAGTACACAGACACACACAGTTTGTTTCTTGAATATATATAGTTGCAAACTGTGGTGTAACCTGGTTAAAACTTAGTGCCAATAGGTTGCCCCTCATGGCAGCTTTTATTAATTAAAGCTGGGTTAATCAAATGCTGATCCTGATGTTGATACAGCAGAAAACACTGTGATTTCTTACTCTTCATTAAACCCAACAGCAGTCAGAATAATGTGAGGGTGTCATTTATCATTTCCTGTTTGCTCTGTGTGAGGGTTGCAAAAGTGCTGAAAGGAAACTAATTGTGCCATTGCACATAAAAGTGAAATTTTCAAATGAATATTCATGAATTATTTGGATAGAAAAGTAGGTCAAAGAATGTGTTCTGAATTCCCCGGTTTGCCATCAGCAGTCGGTGACAGTGATTCTTTTGAGAACACATGGCAAAAAGAAAAAAGAAAAAAACCCAGCTGGTTAATTAATCTTCATCAGCTCCAAGGCCGTTTTGTTTTCTCACACTTGTTTCTGTATCCTCCATTTAAAAAACTACAAACAAAAATCTGCAATATATATATAAATGTTATCATTTATATGACACAAGCTAAAAATATCACAAGCCATTAGATCACAAGCATTCAATCAACATTGGATAAAAGTATCGGGCAAATGCATAAATGTATTTTACACATGGACTGATTGTTTTTGCACTCCTTCAGTGTACAAATCTTCAGAAACAATGAATTCTGTAGCAATTCTGACACATTTCCTCTGTCACGAGGGCCATGATTGACTTAATATAAAATATATTACTTTATTAAATGAATAATTTTATCAATGAACACATTAAATTGATCAAATGACAGTAAAACATTTATAATAATTTATAACAAAATATCTCTATTTCCTTTTGACCTTTCTATTAATCAAAGAATCAAAAAAAAAAAAAAAAAAGTACCACGTTTTTCACAAAAAGACTGAAGACCGGAGTAATGATGCTGAAAATTCAGCTTTGCATTACAGGAATGAATTATATTTCAAAATATATGAAAAATAACCAATATTCAATATTAGAGGAAAACCAAAGTTAATTTTGGTGAAAGAAAAAGCCGTATTGGTATTGATAATCCACTATCTGAAAACTGGAAGGAAGCCCCTTAATGTCTGATGGTTAAGGCCTTAAACTTATTACACACTCAGACCCTGAAACATCTCAAAGGCACAGAGATAATAGTTCAAGATCACAAAGATAATAGTTCAAGATCACAATGATAATAGTTCAAGATCACAATGATAATAGTTCAAGATCACAATGACAATAGTTCAAGATCTATTGTAGATTGACAGTTTAAACTTACAAACTTACGGTAAACATCCCATATGTTTAACCACAAGGCTACACCACTCCAAAAGAAAGAGCAACACTTAAATATTTCCCTTCCATCATTTTGGACCCACTGTATTAATCCGTACCTCATGATTGTAGCTGTATCTGAGAAGACTGAAATTTTAATAAAGATGGCAACCTCGCTGACCTCTGCTTGGTTAAATATCATTGTTAATTAACATGTAAAGGTACGCTGTCAGCAGAATGACAGATGGCTGCAGCGGCGTATAAGGTTGATTAATCTATGAATTAAACTTTAAATAGTGCTCTACATGCGATTTGTGGTGAAATAGGCCCTGCACTAAGGGTTTTGAGGAGGGTTGCATGTGAAATAAGGTAGGCCTAATTTGGACTTCAAATAATAATGTGTCGCTGCTATACAAATGGTTGCACATGCAACATTTGTGTGCTACAAAGCCAACCTTCAACAATGTCTTGAGGGTCTCTCTTAACCATTCGAATTGTATGAACGTAGCACTGCCATGTCTAAATTCTCTTCTCGTCCGCCTTGGCTTTGAGAGCGAGTGTGTTAAGTGCTCTCAGCCCACGGGTGTTATAAATCAGGATCAGCAGTCAGGCTAGAGAGGAGAGGACTATGGCCTCTCTGAAGCAACACAGAGCCAGACTCTTTGTCTAACTCGGTCTCCCTTGCTGGCAGTGCGGCTTGAGCTGTCTTGAACGTTTCACTCCATTACATTTCTACTGGAAATATCAGTTCGTCTTGCCAGCATTAAGCTCTTTTTTCCAATACAAGTAATTCCATCATATTCCCAAACTGCAATGAAAGTTGCTTCTTTAGTGGGTTAGTAAATACATACGCATTATAAAGTCATATTTCATAGAGTTAGTTGCTGTCTGCAGTTAAAATACAGCTAAACGAGTATAACTACACTAGACTAGTCCCAATTGTTTTGACATTAGTAATATTTACATGCCAAGGAACACAGCGCCCTCTACTGGATCATACAGAAACAGCTGTGTAATTTATATAGCATGTAGACCATATGTACAGAGCCGGACAGTAACGGAGTACATTTACTTGAGTACAGTACTTAAGTACAATTTTGAGGGATCTGTACTTTACTCGAGTATCATTTTTGGGGAGTACTCATGACTTTACTCAAGTACATTTGAGAGGCAAATATTGTACTCTTTACTCCAATACATTTCTATCCATAACCGTGAGTACCCAAGTAAAAAAAAAAAAGTAAAGAAAAATCTCGGAAACCCTCAATTTGTTGTTTCCCTCTCAAACGTGATTGGATTGTGCAGGCGCCACTGATTGGGACAGCCTATCAGCAATCACTTTCAGCTTTCCGCCAAAGTCAACTCCATGGTCAGATTTTATATTACACATTAATGTAAGCCAAGCATTTGGTTTGATGTTCTTGAGTATGTGGTGTGTTTAACACAGTCAGGTTCAAATGTGGCAGTGGCGTAGCCGCGAGGGATTTCTGATTTCTTAAAAAAAAAGCTTTAGGAGGCAAAATATATTTTTACTGATTATGTGAATTACACTGCGCAAACCAAAGTAGGCTACTACCCAGCGAATGAAGAAGGGTTGGCGCTCAGTCTCCACAGTACATAAAATATTAATTTTGTATTATTTTATTTTTCGGGTTTGCATTTATGAGGAAAAAACAATGTTATGGACGTGTTCTCCGCTACGGACGTGAGCGCTCTGAAAGCGGCATAAAAAATGCTTTAAAACTTTCACAGAGACATCAAACAGAAAACACAAAACCTTTCTTTAACCTGAATTTCGTTTTGCATTAATTGTATCTTAATTTGAATCAATGTTTCATCAAACAATTGCCTGGGTTTAACAAATAAGAAGTAAATAGCAGACGATAGATAAGAAACGGAGGCGCCGGCACGTGAACTGGATCTCGTCTCATAAATAAACCGAAACTCAGTGTATAAGGTAGCCTACTTGCCTCTCACAGACATGTCTACTTTTAAACAGAAAAATTCAAAACGAAAGAAAACAGACTACAGACTGCTCTCTGCTTAAGTAATCCGTATGAAATGTGCATTTCTCTCTGGCGCGTTCACTACTGAAGATCGCGAGTCAGCATCGTCAACTTCATCTAGCTGATCTGACAAAGAAAACACTTGTTTATTAACAAGTGTTTATTAATAAACAATTAAAATATCTCCTTGCTATATTTTACATATTCATAATCATTCCTTTTGCCAGTTCTTTGTGACAGCTTTTAGGTGCTTTATTGGCAGCGCCACCCTTACATGTGGTGTGTGTGTGTGTGTGTGTTGTCCCCGCATTTAAAGATGGGACCCCAAAATTTTTTTATTAAATTAAATAAAGCAACATGGTAAAAAGATGAAAATGACATGATTTTACTTTCAATTCCTTTTACATTCTCCAAGGTATTAACATTAACATTTTTCATAACTCCATGTAGGACGTTTCTGTGCATAAATGTAAGCACTGTGGCAGTAGATTAGTAATGCAATATTTAGAAAATCTACTCTTGTACTCTTGATACTCAAGTACTTTTAAAAACAAGTACTTTAGTACTTTTACTTAAGTAGACATCTGAACGTAGTACTTTTACTTGTACTTGAGTAAAATTTAGCAAAGGGTATCTGTACTTTTACTCAAGTAACAAAGCTCTGTACTCTGTCCACCTCTACATCTAGGCACATATATGCTAGTAATGTAGGTAGTGAATGATGACAGCGGAAATAAAATCCCCAAAAACTTTGCTAAATCATTTTAAGGACTTTTAAAGGATTTATATGACTTGGCACACACAATGAAAGTTGGTGGATTACACCACCTGCTGGTAAGCATGCACACTAGCTTTCAATAGTTGGTGGCTTGTAAGATTTTTTTACTCAGCAAGGATGCATTAAATTGATCAAAAGTGGCAGTAAAGACATCTATAAATGTCACTAAATAATTCTATTTTAAATAAATGCCGTATTGGAAGTTTCTAAACATCAAAAAATCCTGAAAAAAAGTTTAGTTCCCACAAAAATATTAAGCAGCAAGACTGTTTTCATTAATGCTAATAGATTCCTAAAAGATCACGTGACACTGAAGACTGGACTAATGGCTTCTGAAAATTCAGCTTTGCCCTCACAAGACTAACTTACAGTTTAAAATATATTAAAATAAAAACAGTAATTTTTAAATTGTAGTAATATTTCACAATATTAATTTTTATTGTTTTTCATCAAATAAATGCAGCCTTGGTGAGAATAAAAAACATTTTTACTGACCCCACAGTTTTGAATGGTAGTGTATTTTTTTTACAAAGAACAGTTTATATTTAATGCATCTAGCATACTTTTATCCAAAGTAACTCGCAGTGCATTCAATGTATAGATTTGATCAATATACTCCTTTTTAAATCAAAATTCATAGTCTTTGTGCTAACAAAGCGCACCATGCTCAACCAGTTTATTAAAAAAAATAACAAGTACAAATAAATACAAATAAGCTTGTGTGGAGTAAAACAGAAGCTGCTTTTTTTTTTTTTTTAGAAAAGAAAATTTATTGTCAATTTGAGATCCTCACTAAAAGGTGTCTAACATGATAAGAATAAACTTCGCGTTAGAGATTGGTAAAAAATACCAAACAAATGGATCAAAATAATGTTCTTACAAAAACAAGTGTATTTCATTCTTTTAAACAATCACAATACAAGAACCTTTTACGGTACGCACTTAATGAAAGGATCATGCAAAATGTACATGTAAAAAAATACAGTGAAACTGCCATCTAATACTACTACGGTTTCTAATTAAATTATTTAAAACGCTGAAAAAATATATTAACTCAAGCTCAACTGCGTCAGAAGTCCGTGTTCAAGGGCCGAGGTTGACGGAATATGAAACATATAACGAGACCTCTGCGATAAACTAGCGGTTTTTATATAAACATCTGTCTCTCTATGACCTGTACAACCTGTTATAAGGTTTGCTTTGTTATTCTTGGCTCGGCTTTGTCGATCCAGTGACTTTTAGAAGAGAAACTGAGATGCTAGCAGACTTACCGCATGAGTCACATCATACTGTGACGAAATTTGTCATTCATTCTCAAATACCCAAAGAAAAGTCAGTGTTCATGTTGACCTAAAGGCCAACTTCAAAAGCTTGACACCATAATGTAGCTCACAAAAAATGAGCTCTCCTGTGGATGTAGGATGGATGATGTTCCAGATGTTTCTGCTAAAACCGTAACAAGCCTGTGTAAAACGGTCAATGGTCACGAGCCGTTATCACAGTATTTAATGAGAATAGGAAATGATTAATTGATGTGCACACTGAGAAAACGTATCCTACCAGAATGCGTCTACTGTCACTACGGCTAACTTCTCTGATCGAAAAGGCCACGTGCTACGGCTCAAGATGTTCACAGGTTAATATTGTAGCACTGAGAATCCCAACAATCTACAGCGCTCCAAAGGGAAACTACAAAAGGAAGTGATTCTAAACTACCGGAGGTCGTTATTGCCTGGACTGAATGCACAACTAACCCGCCTGCTGATCACAGTACCATCTAAAATACAAAATATGCTATTTCCCAGAGTCCACTGGGGTTGAGCCGCATGATCAGAGCTGGACATATTGTAGTCTTTAAACCGTTTACAGGTTCAAACCCCCGTTCAGGTGGTGTTTGCTGGGAAGAGGTTTGCACGAGCGATCGGAAGGCGGTCACACCGCCAGCCTGCTGTTGTTTGTCTGCAGTGGGCTCCAGGACGCCGTGTGCTGGGAGGGGTCCTGAGAATATGGCCGTCCCTCACAGCACGGCTGGTTCTCCTCTTTAGGGATGCCCACGGCACACAAACGTCGATGCCGTAGTAACCGGTCGGTTCTGGAAAAGTTCTGTGTGATAGAAGGGGTTCGGAGTTAGTCTCATTTTTGACAAGAGAAGACAGGCGGTTTTATGAACTGGTTCTTTTGGAAGTGCTTTTAATGAACTGATTCACTGATTCTCAGAGTCAAAAGCTCCCGCATGCCATTTAGGGTGTTCTTTTGTTGTAAATACGGTAATTATTTGGTTTCTTACTTCTGTAATCACTATGTATTCAATTATATGAATTACAGAGTGCATTTAATATAAATGCACATTACCGTTCAAAAGTTTGGGGTCAGTTATATTTTTCATGTTTATGACTATTATTTTTTAGCAAAAATACAGTAAAAACAGTAATATTGTGAAATATTATTTCAATGTAAAATATCAGTTTTCTGTGCAAATATATTGTAAAATGTAATTAATTCCTGTTATGTAAAGCTGAATTACTCCAGTCTTCAGTGTCACATTATCCTTCTTTGCAGATTTGCTGCTCAAGAAACATTTAGTATTATTATCAATGTTAAAACGTTTCTGCTAATTATTTTTGTGGAAACCGTGACATTTTTTTCCCCAGCATTCTTCGATGAACAGTTGTGAAGTTGAAAATAACAGCATTTATTTGAAATAGACATCTTTATTAACATTATAAATGTCTTTACTGTCAGTTTTGGTAAATTTAATGCATCCTTGTTGAATGAAAGTATAAACTTTTTTACTGACCCCAAACTTTTGAATGGTGGTGTGTGTGTCCAATTTCTTGCAATTCCGAGTTTAAATCTCACAAATCTGAAAAGATTAATCTGAATTGCGAGATAAATTCTGTCTGTTTTCCTCCATATTGCGATATACTGTATCCCGCAATTCTGACTTTTTCCCCCCTCAGAATTGTGATATAAACTCGCAATTGTGAGTCATAAAGTCTGAATTGGGAGATACAAACTACAGGGAGATATAAAGAAAAAGGTCAGAATTGTGAAATAAAAATGTCATATGTATAAAAGTTATCTATGCAAAATGTTATAGGTTTAAATATTATTTCATGCTGTAATACATTATGTCCCCTAAGAACTGCATATGTGTGAAGAAATATGTACATCTTGATTACATCAAATTCATGCTTTAATAGTAGACTAATCATCGCAGGTTTCATCAGTCCAGCCTGAAACGTCTACGTAATCTTCAACTTAATCCTTAATCTTAAACACTTTGAGAAACCGTACAAATAAAAAAGTAAAAAGAACCGTTTCACAGTTCACTCATAATCGGGCTGAATATGTCATAAATCAGTCATAGTCGCTAATAAAACTTCATGCTTTAAGATGAATTTGTTAATAATCTGCTGTCACAGTGACAGCAGCAACAAGATAAAGGTCAAATTAACATGTAATGTCAACATGAAATCAAAACTGACCATATTTACTTTCTATTCATTGATGTTTCTGGTCTTATTGTGCACAATTTTTTTTCATTCCAAATAAAAATGTATTAATTTGTTCTTCTAAATGTAATATCTTGCTTTTACTCTTAAACAACTTTTCTTTTTTTTAGCTAGCATCACCAAGTTATCTTATTTTTCAGCTCCTCCCCTTCAGCCACCTCTATCCATTCTAGCAACATAAACAATTTTCATGATCAAATCGATTCCTGATGGATAATATCATGTCTCACAGAGAAATGTGCCATATTATGAATGTAAAATGGTTTGTGAATGTCATTTGCTGCAGCCTGCATAACGGTAAGCTCCCAGTTGCGGTACTATCATAAAAACATACATTTATGCATGTAAAAAGCAAATAGCACGCTCTCTGTGAATATAACTGCCTGTGTTTGTCACGTCTCACCTGTTGGCAGCGGTCACACTGATAAGGCTTCTCACCGCTGTGAACACGCTTATGTCTCTCCAGGTGGTAGCGCTGAATAAACCTCATGTCACACATATCACATCCAAATGGCTTTTCCCCTAAAACACACACAGATGTACACACATTTACTTAATGCATCTCTTCACATGAAACGTAAGATGATGTGAGAGCGGAAAGGCTAGAGGCATACCCGTATGGGTGAGAATGTGGCGTTTGAGATGGTAACTACTGCGGAAAGCACTGTAGCAGTGCTCACATATGAAGTTCTTCTGCACTTGAGAGCTGAGTGAGTTATCGTCATTAACCTCAGGAATCTCCACCTTCACATCACATACAGAAGAAAAGAGCAGTCAGTCAGGATACGAATATAAGCGGAAGTGTGTAAATGTGATAAACAGGCACACTTGCAGGGCAATCCTGCAGATAGATTTGAACGCATGCCTGGGGCTTTTCTCTCAATTTGGTGGGAAGTCCAGACTTCCTGTTCTTCTTCTTTGGCTGCACGTTCTGTCTGGCTTGCATGTTTTTTTCATCCAAGAGCCTGGATGAGTGAAACTCTCCATCCTTGCGGATGAGCTGCCCCCAAAAACAGAATATAGGTCACCGGATTGAATGAAAAATAACATTCAAGCTATTCGATGTTAACATTCACATTAAATCAGTACAGTTTCAGAAGTTCTTATAACAAAATATATCCAGCATCTAGAATTTAAATACAAACCACCGTTCAAAAGTTTAGGGTCAGTAAGAATTTTTTTAAATGTTTTTAAATGAAGTCTCTCATGTTCACCCAGACTGCATTTATTTGATCAAAAATACAGTAAAAACCGTAATCGTGTAAAATCATTTCTATTTGTTTTCTATGTTAATATATTTTTTAAATTTCAATTTATTCCTGTGCTGGCACAGCTGAATTTCCAGTCTTCAGACAGAGTGATCCTTCAGAAATCATTATAATATGCTGATTTGCTGATCAAGAAACATTTATTATTATTATCAATATTGAAAACAATTGTGCTGCTTACATTTTTTTTGGTGGAAACCATGATACGTATTTTTTTCAGGATTCTATAATGAATCTTAAGTTAAAAAAAAAAAACAGCCTATACTTGAAATTATTTTTAAAATGCAAATTCTTCATAACAGTATAAGTGTCTTTACTGCCACTTTCAATCAATTTAATGGATCCTTGCTGAATTAAAGTATTTAAAAGTAAAAAAGTAAAATAAATCTTACTGTTCTGAAACTTTTATATAATGGTGTACATTTATGCATTTGGGAAATCCTTTTTGGCAATGTGAGATTTTCCTGGGAATTGAGCCCATGGCCCTTTAGCATCAGCTCCAGACATTCAACATTTAAATAAATAGTTTACCAAACAAATTAAAAACCCATCCAAACCCATATGACTTTCTTTTACAATGTGATCCATGTCTTTTTTTCTCTTACAAGTGGTGGGCAGCTGACTCCTGAGGGCAGCACCATGTGGCCGTGTTGGCTGTGTGTGTCCTGGTTGTGGTTCTGGCTGTGATTGTGGCTGTGATGGTTTTCTCTCTGTCCCTGGCCCAGATGAGAGCCCATCTTCTTATGACTGGACATGGAGCCAGCCTGCATGAGTGCCATGCTGGACAGCACCGCTTCACAGCCCAGCAACCCAGCCTGTGTGAAACACAAACATACACTTTTAAAAATGATTCTCAAAGTCACTAATCTGATGGGTTGGAAATTTGGCTTGAAATCTGGCACAAATGTGATCCAGTTTAAGACATCACTAATACTTTTCAGTCAAGATCTGTCAAGTTAATTCAGAGGTCACAGTGCAATTATGTCAAGAACATGCCCAGGGAAAATTATACCACAAAATATAATAATAATAATAATAATTAATAATTTATTGTGATTTTATTATTAATATGTTATTATTATTGTTGTTGCAACAAAAATATCATAATGCAAAAATCTTAATCCTAAAAATACTTGCAAAAAGTGTTATTATTATTTATTATTATTATTTACATAAATTATGTAACATGTATATGTAGTGATTTGACATAAATCACTACATATTTTACATACATGCATGATTTAAGTAAATAATAAAAATAATAAAATTTTTACAGAAATAAAATTAAAAGTATTTTAGGATTATTAAGATTTTTGCATTATGACATTTTCACGTTTCATGTTATTGTTAGTAATAATAATAATAATATATATATATATATATATATATAATAAACATTTATTAACATTGTTGTTCTAATGATCCTAAAATATATGATTTACGTAAATAATAATAATAATAAAGATTTTTGCATTGTGACATTTTCATAACTGAGCAAATTAAAAAATTCTCAGTCCAGTGTTTTCTTTTTAAATCTAATTTACATGATTTAAAAAGATGATTCCCATTATTGCAATAGATTAATTTTTCAGTGTACTGCATTAAAAAAAATACTATAACAATGTAAAATAATTTATTAAAATTCTACAATGATGTATAAATTCATTCTACTGGAGAAATGTGCTTAATTATCATGAAAATAATAATTAAAAACTTAAATGTCTTAAAAAATGCTTTATTTTCCTCATGCAAAATATAATTTTGGGGTGAAATATAACTGACACACATTCTTGACAGTTCTGTGAGATCTATCCCATTACTCTTAAACACTCTGTGTAAAAGTCTGGTGTCACAGACAAGAGTCAGACTGTGGAAGTGAATTACAAAATGTTAAAACACAGAAAAGTCAATGAAAGGAAAATGAAGGATATCTTTTTCAAAACAAATGTGGACAAATGCAGAAAAATGCAAATGAAGAAGAGAAAAAAACACTGACCCACTTCATGTGATCTCGCACTGAGCTGTTGGAAAGGTGTGACATCGCTGTGGTGAGAGTGTGTGTGTATGTGTGTGTTGGGGTACAGAGAGCTTCGCTCTGGGCAGCGAGAATGTTTAGAGACCACACAAGCCCCAATCATCAGGGGCCCAAGCCTAGAAACAGAAGGGGGGATATAAAGCCAGGGTAATATCCATCTCTGTCTATGATGTTGCCACACATCCAGCCCACCACTAACAGAAGTTGTCAACCGTGGACAAATCACGGCTTTTATTCGCTAGAATCAGACATTTTCCATGTCTGCATTGCCAAGATTTTGTTTATACAGGCTTATAGGGCTGTGTTTTTAAAGCCATAAGAGTTTGGCTTCAGCTAGTCACATTTCCAGGCGTCAAGAGTCCCTAAATGACATCTGGAAACAAACCAGCTCAAAACTGAAACCGAGTGGAGTGGATTCTCATTGGTTCTTTCAAACTGAAATCCTAGGAATACATCCGAGCGTCTATGCCATGTTGATTTTGGATTTGGTTGGTCGGATTCTGGGATTCACTGGAATTAAAAACAGATTTATTTCAACCACCATCTTCCCTTCCACTGCTTATTCCCGTGCATTAGTCTGACTAACTCACCCTCAAAGATCCAGATGAACACAAATATAAATGAATGAATACAATGAGGCATGGAAGCCATGGATGGATAGTGCACTACACAAAATTAACGTAGTATGATTGCAATAAATCAAAAGACATATAGATCAGGGTGAGTGGGTGAATATTGTATATTGTGATGTTCCATAGCATTATTGATTTGGCAACCAACAGGGTCCTGGAGGTTAAATTAATTTCAGGACATAGAAAATAAAATTACGCCAGTCTTATCACATGGCAAACACAAAGCAATCTAAAGCAAACCAAGCCAAAGAAAACAAACTTTACGAGAACAACTCAATTGTATCTATGTAATACACTTCATTATAACTCATTTAACAGTTTGGTGTGCTTATTATAAACCACTATATATCGATACAAATTAAAGCAAGTATTAACCCGTTCAGAGTCAGACCCAGTGACTATTACAATGGATGGACATCGCTTTTATTTATTTATTTTATTTGGTGCCACCTTAGTCAATATATTAATGCCATGGCACAAGATATGTCATAATTACCCAGGTTCATATAGCAGTCAACATAAAAGTAAACTACTAGGTTTTTTGCCTGTAACCACATTGGAAGACTGGCCTTGTTAGAAACACGTCAGAGTTGGCAACATGATCCGAAAGGTTGCAGGTCTGAACCACAAAGAATTTTTAATGATCTTGTCTTTCATGTGCTTACAAATATAATCATTTGCCTATCGCCATTTCTGTACCCAACAGTGAAATTCATAATCAATAATATAAGTTTAGCTACTATTTTATATTAATGTATATATTTCTCTGTAACACTTTACAATAAGATTTCATTTGTTAACATTAGTTAACTCCATTAGTTAACATAAACAAACAATGTAAATGACTTCTAAAGCATTTATTAGGCTTACTCAATTTTAATTTCAACATTTAGCCTACTAATACATTATTAAATCTAAAGTGGTGTCTGTTAATTGATGAACTGTTGTATTTTTATAAAGTAACGGTAACAGAGATGAATTAATACTGTAACAAATGTATTGCTCATTGTTAGTGAAACTTAATGCATTAACTAATAGGACCTTATTGTAAAAAAATTTCCTTATTTCCCTTTAGAAAAACTATTAAAACATGAAAAGTACAATAATTTAGCGTTACCTTTGTTTCTTTTTTTTTATGTCTCGGTAACACTTTACAATAAGGTTCCATTAGTTAAGGTTAGTTAATGCATTAACTAATATTACCTAACAATTAGCAGTACTTATTAATCGTTGTTAACATTAGGCTAATTAGTAAAAAACACGACTGTATATTGTTAGTTCATGCTAGTTCAGGTTCATGATGTCTCTCTAATGTTAACAGATACAACTTTGATTTTAATCACGTATTAGTAAATGCTGAGATTAACTTTAGCTCAGATTAATAAATGCTTTAGAAATATTGTTCATTGCTAGTTCATGTTAACTAATGTAGTTATCTAATGTTAGCAAATGAAACCTTTTTGTAAAGTGTTACCATTGTATCAAATGTATTTAAAGTTTTCTTTATTAACTTATCAAACCCATGTGTACAGTTATCTGGACGTTGCTACTGTTCATAACCAGTGTCCATTGTAATGGACACCAGAAATAACTATTGCAATAACCTGAATCATATAAAACAATGTATAATAATACATTTCACAGCATGTCTGAATTTAGAGTAACGTTATGATAATGCATTGTTATATTTGTTCTGTGTCTGTGGAACAGAATTCAAGTGTTAACGGGTTAAAGGCAACAAAGGGCGTGAATTCAGATGATAATAATCTTAATATCTGAGTGAAATTCATTCTTCTTCAGTCTGAACTGTAAACACGTTAACTGTTACTGATGTGAACTCCTCCATTCATCCTACATCACAACAGGGCGTGAGTTCACCGTCTATTTAACTTCACATTTCAGAGCGATTAAGTCTTTTCTTAAATGCTGTTATATGTTTAATAAGCGTAGTATCGCAGCCTACGCGTATTTGTTTTACCTTACTCTTCTTCTTTTACCGTAGCCCAATATTTTCTTGTCGAACAAATTTTTTTTTTCAGTTTACAAACACAGGAAACGTTACCGGAAGTGCTCTCTGGGGAGAGCGTGTGTCACGTGATCACCACACTGGCAAACGATTACAAGCTTCCGGTGTAAATAAAGTCCACGAGTGTTAAGAAGAAATGTATTTTATTAATGTCTAAAATGTTGAGCTGCTTGCGAAATTAGACTTTGTAAACATTTTATATTCTTTATAACACAAACGTTCTTGTGACAAATATTGGTGTTTTAATGTACAAATCACAAAGCAAAGCAAAATAAAACAAAATAAAGCTTTCAACTTCAAGGAAAATATTCAGCCTATCATATATTGACCTATATATGACCTATATACCCATATATTGTGTTAAACAAAATGGCAGTCACAAATTATTACAAATTCTTATTAGTCACTATATTATATAATCATCTGAATTTTAACATATCCTTATTAAAGTATGGACAGCAAAACAAATCAAATAAATTCACTAAAATAAAAATCTTTTGCATACCTTAATGTAAAGCTACTTTTTGAAACAGCACACATAAAAATCACCCTATTATCTGACAGATATCACTGAAATGAGTGTCCTAACAAATCACACCTGTCTCTGTGACAGCCCTAGGCTCTGAAGAGGGGACCGGCCCAAGCTTTAGCCAATCAGAAATGCTTTCCGCCAGTAAATCATTTTGCCAAATTCGGGTTTGCTGACATCGGGTTTACAGACGTAGAGTTTCAGCAGTGGTTCTCAAACCTGGTCCTGGAGGCCCCTGTACTGCACATTTTGGATGTCATGATCTATATAGTCAGCTCATTAGTGGAGACCCTAAGACCTGAATTAGGTGTGCCAAATGTAATAAATACTTACACTACCAATCAAAAATTTGGAATAATTCAGTTTTGTTCATGTTTTGGAAATAAGCCTCTTATGCTCACCAAGGCTGCATTTATTTGTCCAAAATACAGTAAAAACAGTAATATTGTTAAATATTATTACAAATTAAAATAACCATTTAGAAATGGGATTCAAAGCTGAATTTTCAGCATCATTACGCCATTCTCCAGTGTCACATGATCCTCAGAAATCATTCTAATATGCTGCTCAAGAAACATTTATTATTATTATTATCAATATTGAAAACTGTTTTTTGAAAACTGCTTTAGTGAATAAAGTTCAAAAGAACAGCATTTATTTAAAATAGAAATATTTGTAACATTATAATTGTCTTTACTGTCAATTTTGATAAATCAAATTGTGTCCTTGCTGAATAGTTTTTTTTTTAATGGAAGTGTATCATGTTTCACAAAAATATTAAGCAGTAAAAACTGTTTTCAACATTGATAATAAAAGAAATTAAAAGAAATGTTTCTTGAGCAGCAAATCAGCATATTAGAATGATTTCTGAAGGATCATGTGACACTGGACTGGCGTAATGATGCTAAAAATTCAGCTTTCACAGGAATTTTAAGATATATTAAAATAGAAAAAAATATATCATTTTAAATTGTAATAATATTTCACAATATTAGTTTTTACTGCATTTTGATCAAATAAATGGAGCCATGGTGAGCATAATGATTTTCTTTAAAAAAACATTTAAAAAAATGTATTAATTAGAACTTATTATTCCAAACTTAGTGTAGTGTTACATGGTAGTGTATGTGGGCCAGAATCTATGAGATTCATTCACTTTATGACCTCTGTAGATGCAAACATTTTTGCATGCTTTGTCAATGAAGTCAGTATTATGCACTATTTAGAAGTCAAAATGAGTTTTAGCAACCATTAGATAATCGCAAATTGAAAAGTGACAGGATGAGAGGGGATAATGGTACACCATTCATATTCAAACTAATTACAGGTCCTTCCCTAGTTTCTCCATCTCATCGAGGAAGAAATCCATGTCCTTGGTGGTCAGCTGAGGTGAAAGAACAACCATACGGAAGAAGTTGACGTGTTCGTCCATGGGCTGGTATCCCACCATCATTGTTCCACACTTCATCATTCTCTCTTTGATGACTGGCGCCACCTGATGGTGTACATTGAAAACGACATGAAATATTTCAATGTGTAATAATTCAATTCTGTGCTACATCAACAATTAAGCGAAGCTGACCTTTGATAGCCTTTCCTGGTAATCCACACTGTTCTCCTTCCCTCTTAGACTGGGTGGAATGAACCAAAAGCAAACGTTCACAAAATGCCCCTATTGGAGAAAAAAACACACCATAGAGAAATATATAAACATGAATTATATTTACATAAACATAATACTGTTTTAGGTTTGTATGCAGTGCAACACTGTACCTTACAGACCAGCTGGAAATGGTCCCTTTTCTCCATTTCTTCAACTAAATACCTGGTGCAAATATATTAAAATAAATACATATAAATATATTTAATAATTTTTACAGTTTTATTCAAAATTTCAGTCAGTACTTTTTTTTTTTAATATGCTCTTATTTTATTTTATTCAAAGGTTTCTAATTCAAATAAATGCTGTTCTTTTGAACTTATATTCATCAAAAAATGCTGCTTTTTTTCTTCAGAAAAATACTAAGCAACACAACTGTTTTCTCCATTGATAATAATCAGAAATGTTTCTTGCAGCAAATCAGAATCATTTCTGAAGGATCATGTGACACTGAAGACTGGAGGAATGATGCTGAAAATTCAGCTTAAATACAGGAATAAATGACATTTTAGAATATAAAAAAAAAAAAAGAGTTATTTTAAACTGTAATAATATTTCAAAATATAACGGTTTGTACTGTATTTTTGATTCAAATAAGTGCAGCTTTTGTGAGCATTTTTGTGAGTCTTTCAAAATGATTAAAAAATCTTACCAACCCTAACCTATTTAATGGTATTGTATATATTAATAATATTTTGCAATGCATTTAATAATACGAGTCAATAGTTCCACAATATGCAACATTAAAAAAAGATTGATGATGTATTCAACAACAACATCCAACAGATGCATCAAATACCTTGCAAGGGCAAAGGCCTTATCCACTCGCTCTGAAAGACCGTGCGTTCCTATTGCCTTCCACATCAACCAGAGCTTCAAACAATCCACCTTACGGCCACACTGGATGGACTTGTCTCCTGTGTCTAAACTTGTATCGTAGAACTTGTCTTGCTGGAACAAGTAGGTTGCTTTTGCGCTGTGACAGTGCATTAGTAAATCCTACAGATTGAGACTAAAATGAGTGCACTGCACTTTTAAATATGTATTTGTGGGTTTAGTAATAAATATACTTCTTTCATTTTTGACTAATAAGCAAAAACATTGCATGAATTGACTTATATGTGCTTAGAAGTAAAAAGAAAAAAAAGAGATGGATTGCTACATTCCACAAGCTTTCATACCGTGGTATCTCTGAACAAAATCGCAGAGCACTGCAGGCCCGCTAGAAGCATTTTGTGAGGGTTCCAAGTCACGGAATTTGCTCTGGGTGTTAAAAAAGAGAGATATTAAACCGTTCATTCAGGCTATTTCTCTACTCAAAGCACATTTTATCCAGGGCTCATTCTATCAGCTAAGAGTGTGCAGAGCTCAAACCTTTCTAGTCCTGCAACCAGATGTCTGTGTTTTTTGGAAAACAACACGCTTCCTCCCCAAGCGGCCTGTAAAAGACAGAGATCCAGATTGTAACAGTTGGGAGAAATGCTATGTGAATATTTTAAGTGCAAACAACTGGAAACTTTTAAATGGGGGGCCACAAGCATATGGATGTGTTGCACAATGATGTTGCATAAGGTAACCGCGCTGCACTTACGTCAACGTGCATCCACATGCCGTTTCTTTCACTTATGTCAGCAATGCGGTTCAAAGGATCAAAGGCGCCCTGCACTGTGGTACCCGCTGTGGCATTAACAAAAAATGGAACAGCATCCTGAAGGAGACACATTGGCCAAACACCATTAACCTTTGACTCTTGGATATTTAAAGTGATAGTTCATGCAATAATTTAAAAAGAAAGTCTGTCAGGATGTCTTCACTCTCATGTCGTTCCAAGCCTGTATGACTTTTTTTTCTTTCACAGAACTGTTTGGCGTAAAGTTCACGCTGCTGTTTGTCATTTATAAAGAAAGCAGACATGTATTTAGGGATCTTCCTCAAAAAAGCTATCAAATGTCTTCAGAAGACTTTATGGTCACTGTCTGCTTTCACTTCATGCAAAAGAACAGCTTGGACGTTCAGCAAAACACTTCCTTTTTAAATTTCACGGAAGGTAGAAGGAATGAGATAATAGATCATTCCAGACTTTTAATTTTATAGTGAACTATGTTCTCAATTATACACAATATTTCAGTTAACCATTTTAATATAATATACACTACCGTTTGGGGTCAGTACAATTTTTAAAGTATTTTAATACTGTTATTTTCAACATTGATAATAATTAGAAATGCACCAAGCATATTAGAATGATTTTTGAAGGATCATGTGACACTGAAGACTGGAGTAATGATGCTGAAAATTGAGCTTTGCATCACAGGAATAGAGGGTATGCGCATGACGTCACCGTCGGCCGGAGTGAATGCGGTCACGCCCACAAGTGGCAAAAAGACTGAGCGGCAGCATTTGTTTTCAGCCTGAACGCCGTGAAAAATCTCACAAAACACATCTAAAACGGGAAAGAGCTTTGCGATTGACTGTACAACTAGATTTGACCCGAAATCTGAGGTACTGTATATTTTTACAGACTGCAAAAAGCTACAGAACAGACTATATTCTGCATAATTGGATGTTTTTAAATAAACACTGACAAAAAACTATACAAGTTTTAGGGCTGGACGATATGATGATATACAGTGTAACATTAATGTAAGTGATCACTCGGATTTAGACCTATCTATATTGTATTTATATAAAACGTTTACAGGCAAATTGTCTTCATTTATTTCCCCGGCGTCGAAATCAGGCACATATAAATGTCAGGAAACACGATTCCTGGCTGCATGTCAATATCCATGGATCACTGGATCTTTGATAAGTTGTAAGGAACACTATATCGAGTCCAACTTTTAGTTTAAACTGATAATAGTTTGTTTTACTCGCGTTAACGCAGTTTCCCCTATTAACTCCAGTCACGCAGCAGCTCTTCTGCCACTCAGTCCCCCTGAGGGGGGCGTGTTCCGGCGGGGAAGTGACGTTAATGCATTCCCTCTATAAACTATATTTTAAAATATATTAAATTAAAAAGTGTTTATTTTAAATAAATTGTAATAATATTTTTGTTTTTACTGGATTTTTTAATCATATAAAAGCAGCTTACTGATCCCAAACTTTTAAATGGTTCTGTATATTAAATGTATTAATTTACCATAGAATTTAAATATTTACTTGTGATTTTGCCTGCACGATTTTAGCCTCCAGGTCCTCTGGTATCATGCTGCCACTGTGGTGGAACAAAGAAACTTTCTTAACAATTTAAAGTGAACCACTGGTTTTCCAAAATATGTCAGAGATAAGAACCTGTACCTCTCGTCCACTTTTACAATGAAAACATTTTCCGTTCCTATACCAAGAAAAGCAGCTGCTTTTTTCATTGAGTAATGACTCTATAAAAAAAAAGAAGAAGAAAAAAAATATTACACAATACTGCTTTATATGAATTCTAAGATTAGATTAGAATAAGTGATTCTTGTCTTTGTACCTGTCGTGATGTAAATACAGCCATCCGTGGTGTGGCCCACAAGCCTTTGGTCTTCACTTGAGGGAAGGCCCAGTACCGTGCGACGTTCATGGCATACATGTTAGAAATGGAACCTCCGGGACAAAATATCCCATCTCCTTCTGACCAGCCAATCAGAGAGCGGAGCTTACAGAGCACTTCCTCCTCCATCAGGACGAACACCGGAGCCACTTCATAGGTGTATCTGAAAAAAATTTCACACTGAGTATGTTGCGTATTGGTCAGGCATGATATGCACATGCATTTGTATTACTTTAGTATCATTAATATACTATTATAGTATTTATTAAGAATTTGAATAGATCTGCTGCTGTTGGTTATTGCTGAAAATGATCTGTAAGTATCATATACATTTGTTGATTACAGAGCTTATTTTTTGCGATAATCCAAAAACCTATTAAAAAAACCTATTGGGTTTTTGTCGAGGGAACCACTGTGATGCTAACTGCCGATTGGCCTACAAATTTACATCATCCCCGCACCACTCTAAAGTTTTGTGTCCCCCTATGAAACTTTGCATTCCCTTGCAAAACTTTTGTGTCCGCTCGCAAAGAACACACAACTTTTGCGAGCAAACAGAAAGTTTTTCAGAGAATTTGCGAGAATGCAAAAGCATTGACATATAATTTTGTCCATCACCATTGCATTTAGCAGAGTATAAAAAATATATTATATACATATATGTTCTATTATATGTGTGTGTGTGTGTTTGTATAGATTAATCGATTTGACAGCACTGATAAATAGTTTTAGTTAATGATAACAACACTGTTTGCATTATCTCAAAATTCCAGACCCTAATTACATCAATCTCTTATCAATACACTTTTTAGATCAGTCTATATGATTATATGGCATCGTACTGTTGTCAAATTGTGTCATCTGATAACTTCAAGTGCTCTGATAAGTTACTTATTACAGCAGGGTTTAATGGAACACTTCAGCAACAGTGTAACAGTTTACTGGAAGTTTAACACTGATGCGCTCTTCAGTTAATAAAACACCATATAGACTCATTTACAACTCTCTCCTGAGATCCTACGATGGCACTTTCACTGTAACATATTAACATGAACACGTACTGGCTGGTGTTGAGGGTTTCAGTGAGGAGCCGTCCTGTCAATGCATGGTAGTCCACCCCAGCAAACAGCTGATTGAAGAACAGAGGATGACCTGTGAAGGGGAAAAGGCTTTGGATCAGGATGTAACCACATATTCAAGATTTGGGAGGAACAAATGTAAACATTTCAGAATAAACCACTGAAAAACCCATGCAGGACGACAGCTAATATGAATAAATAGGGGGAATGCGATCACAACATATGCAACCTACAGGTTTTAACGCTGTATCTCGCCACATCTCGGACCCTCTGCAATAACTGCTTGTGAGATTCTCCATTTTCCCTGAGTTCGAGGTCCAGAAGAGCTCTCAATTGATCTGGATCTTTCCACTCACACACCTGTGAATGCAAAGACACACAGTTCTTAAAGGGATAGTTCACCCAAAAATGACAATTCAGTCATCATTTACTCACCCTCAAGTTGTTCCAAACCTGTATGAATTTCTTTCTTCTGGACCCCACTGACTTCCATAGTATTTTTATTTTTTTCATACTATGTAAATCAATGGGGTCCATCAACTGTTTGGTTACCCATATTCTTCAAAATATCTTCTTTTGTGTTCAGCAGAAGAAAGAAATTCATACAGGTTTGGAACAACATGAGGGTGAGTAAGTGATGACAGAATTTTCATTTTTGGGTGAACTATCCCTTTAAGACATCTCATAAGAAACAATATAAGATAGGGAAAACCCAGAAGTTGTTAAATGAAATGATAAACTCTTAAAAGACAACCTTCTCCTTCAAGTCAGTTCCTTTGTTAAGTATCTCCTCCATAATAACTTTGAAAGCCTCAGTAAGGAACAGCTTCCCATCCGACTCGTACATGTCTGATTCTTCCAGGTGGGCATGGCCATTCATATATGCTGTGAAATACATTTAAAAGTACATCCATCACAAAATAAATCAATTTATGCTTTAATCAAATATTAAATATGGGTGTTTTGCAAACCCTATAATTTATATATATATATATTATACATGCATATATTTAATGTAATTTCTATGTAATAATGTATTTTGAACAAAATTATTTTAAAAAGTTGTTGTGGCACAGCAATTTTACAATTAAAGATAATATGTTTAAATACTACAAAAAAAAATTCTTGCATTCTATAAAAAGTGACAAAATATATTTAAATACAATGAAAGACATATTAAAAGCATTTTTCTTCAATTAAAAATTACAAAAAAGTTTCTTCTATAAAGCAACAAAATTGTTTTTAAAAGTTTTTTGAATCATTAAATGTTATATATTTGTTTGAATTATATTTTGTTATTTTTTATAGAATGATTTTGCTTTTTAAAAAGGTTTTTGTAGTATTTCAAGTTGTTACTTTTAATTGAAGAAAATTGCTTGTTTTTCATAGTATTTAAACATGCTAATTTTTATGGGGGAAAATTGGTTTAAAAAAAGTTTAATTAGGTTACTGTCTCTGCTAAAAAGATTTGGACATTGTTTACACAGTAAAACAGGATTCAATGATCTATTTAAAAGACACAATAAAACAATTGGATGATTGTATATTTATTTACATTGTAGCATATTGTACTATGATATAGATATATAATTTGTGTATTTTATGTTCAAATGGCAATCGAACATGAAACGCGTCTGTCCTTCTTCACCTGAAGTCCCACTTTAGATGATGAACTTTTACTGGCTATTTGCGGTTGCCAAGCAGCGCCGCAACTCTGCGCATAGGCTTACTAGACTCATGACTAGACTGCATAAAATATAACCGGAAAAACCGATACACTGCTTCGACCAGCACTTCCGGTAACCAATTCCACTGTGATAAATGTCTATTGATTTGCACATCTAGTCAGGAAAGAGTCAATTTTACAATACGCGTTAAAATCGTTAAAATGCTCCCTTCACGTGTTATCGAACATTTCCTACTTCCGAGTTCCGAAGTCGTCATTACGAGCTTGTTGCATTCAAATTTTGTCTTGAGAGGACGTTCATGTCCAATTTTTTTAAAACTAGGAAACTAGTATTTACGATAATTACGATAGCACGTGAAGGCAACATTAATTCCCATGTTGCAATCGCGATATTTCATGAGAAAAACGTCATCGACGACCCAATTCTTCTTCTTTTTTTTTTTTTTTTTGGAAATATGACACCAAATAGCAAAACGGATGTAAAAAGATTCAAAGACAGAAAGATTTAACTATAATTACTAAGATTTAACTTTTTTTCATCTTTGTTAAGAAATAAACTAGCGGAATATTTTCTGCAGCCCTTTTCCTGTTTAGGAAGTTCTTGATTATCCCAATGTGGTCGATGCAAGTGCTTAGAGGGGCGACACGTTGCAATTCCTGCAACTTATGCAATAGTTTCTAAACAATGCATCATTCATCGACTGCTCACCATAATAAACCATAACGTTAGCTGCAACTCTTTCCCCCTGCGGCTGCTTCTAATTATAATGAAACTTTTGCACGTGGACAGTATTACATCATCAGCTTGAAACGCACGATTCAGCAAAACTAAGAAATTAGTGAATTTAAAATAAACTTTATGCATGCATCCAAAACAGAACAATCCAACTTCTCACCTTTAGATGAACTCATTGTGATCTATCGTGTCCTTTCTGCACTTAGCACATGAAATTCTACTGTAGCCTATCTGATGACGTTAGGATGCCTCGAGACCCTCAGTGGTTTAATGCATGGTTTAATGCAGGGTCCAGCCTTCATATACGTGATGCACACGCCCGATTCGTCATTCAAGTGACATCCTATAATTGGATTAGAGTGATATGGGTGTCAACAAAAAAAATCAATCTTTAACTTAAAAAGAAAAAATAGCTTTCTAAAGACCCAGGTATGATAGGATATCAGTTGCATGGAATTATTTGAGTAACATAATTATTCATGGCTGTTATAGTTGTTTAATTTCTTCAAATATCTCCAGTATTCTTACCTTCTGCAAAACCATTGGCTGGTTTTATTGGCAGGGTCCTGCATCTTAGTTGATAGGGGGGCCAGATATATTTACTGTGCTAAAACTGCACACAAGCAACCAATAAGAATGACCAGTACAACAGCTTTACATGTTATATAATGACACACATTCATTTGGGTAATGCATGCTGAAAAACAGGGGTACAACGTTCAACATCTTCCAAACTCTGGGTGTTGTTCTAAGTTCAAATGAGACTGAGTGTGCTGATGAAAGAAAGATATATCCCTCCACGTATGTTTGTCAGATTGCACAATGATCCCACACACACTCACTCACAAGAGAGGAATGGAATGTCACAGGGTTCAAAAAAAAAAAAAAAAAAAATCCGTTATCTTATAGAAAAAGTGTTTCCTATGGAATATTTGTGAATAGTTGTATGCACAATTTACATCTGTGTCATCCAAGGAATTGGAAATAAAAAAAAATAAAAAAAATGATATCAACCTCATGATAAAGTTTATTACAATTCCATCTAGTTTTTAATGTTGGATGGTACAAAATAAACCTTACACGATCCAGGGTTAACTAAAACTTGTACGATCAAAGCTGAATCAATATGAAATTAAAGAGGTAAATGAGATACAAAGATTCTGAGGAACGGGTGAGATAGAGATTCATCAAAAAAATATACTCTCCAGGAGCCGGATTTTATAGCTTATAAAACAATAAACGCAATACCGTAAATCTGACAAATATCTTAATTACACAATAAAACAGGCTATAAAAACAACAACAAAAAAAGAACCTCAAACTCTTTCATCATAATGAATCATTTGTTCTCTTTATTTATATTTACTTGAAACTAACCCAACACCAGAAGCATGTTCAATTATTTACAAAATGGAAATGAGATTTAGAAGGAACAAAAAAAAAATATTAATATAAAATTACAATCACAGGAGAAAGTAACATGAAATAGTCAAATTAATGAAAGCATGATAGAATTTGACAATAATGTTCCCACATTAGGCTGCAATCTATCAAATAAAAAAAGATTCCCTGAAGTCTGCCAGGACTGGACTAGACGCTGTTTAATGACTGGCCTGTGCAATGGAATTGTACAAAGCTCCGCCTCCAATCCTATCACCTGCTTGGCATGCAAAACAAGGGTGAACAAGGGTGAAACACCAGGGTGAAAATGCATCAGGGTGAAATAACGTGATACTTGCCGAGAGAGCGAAGGTCGCCGTTATGTTGCCAGATAGTGGCCTCTATTGGAACATAAATCTTTGTAAATTTCCATCATAAACATGAGTCTTCCTTATCTGTCCATGGAATCGGTTCAAGTTTTAAGACTTAGATAAAAGCTTTCACATTCATTTACTTTATAAAATAAAAAAATAAAAAAGGACATGTAGAATTGCTACGGTACAAATCAGGCTCATCTGATATTGTTAGGTAAAGATTATTATATTCCAGAAAGTACACACACACACAAACACACACACAGTGAAGTGCAATTTAAAAGGTAGGAATGGAACTTGATCTCACATGAAAATAAGAGTAACAGAAAAACAAATAAGTAATAATAATGCCATAAAAAAAATAAAACAAAAAAAATTCCACACTCAAAAGTCTAACAGTTTATTCAGTCCTGCCCCTTTAAAAAAATTATTTATGCATTACATTTTCAAAAATAACGTAAAAAAAGGCTTAAGAAAAATATTTGAAATACCCGCATTTTAGCTTGTTGCGTTTAAACGTTTCCCTATTATTTAAAGCTTTTAGCTGACCTCATACATGTTTACAAAACAAATAAACAAAATTGAACAGTGAATTAAAGGTGCTCTAAGCGATGTCACGCGTTTTTTAGGCCAAAACATTTTTTGTCACATACAGCAAACATCTCCTCACTATCCGCTAGCTGCCTGTACCCTGAACACACTGTAAAAAAACACGGTCTATGTAGACAGCCCAGGCTCCACAAACGGTAACAAAAACAAACTGGTCCAACCCGCACCACCAAACATAACAAACAGTGTTCCAGCCAATAACCGACAACAATGATTTGGGGGTGGGGGTTGGGGGGTTAGTGCGCGTGCAATGGAGGGGAGGGGGAGGGGACGGGATGAGGAGGAGGGAGGGTCGAGTTAGCCTCCGTTTTGTTTGACATAGGCCCTGTCCCAAATGGCACACTCCGGACTTGTGGACTTCCTCAGAGTCCACACTTCGGTGACGTCATGTAGTGCAGACCTATAGGGCCCTTAGCGCGAGTCCGCGAGGGCGCATTGAGAGGTATTTTTGGGACAGACTCGATCGTCAAGCCGGAAACAGGAAGACGGTCTGATTGTTGTTATGGACAGGAGCTACAGGTTTGGGAAAATATGCTGCCTATTGTTGTTGTGTTTACATATGACTCAGTAAAGCCCTGACATTCTGTTCTATTTATTTAATGAATCATAATGCGATCGTATTATTCAGCTCGCTATTATTCGCCTATGTTTGAGACATCAACCACTGGTCGATGATCATAATGTTTGTATAAACTTGTCATAAAAACCGTAATGATAATTACACTTAAATATTTTCTTCTCAGCCATGTTAACAATTGTCCGTGAGCGAAATCTCCTCCCATCCGTTGTCTGATTGGCCTTTCGCAAGGATTCCTGGGTAGTTAAAGTGCGTGGAGCCTGCATCTATGCGGGCTTCGCGGAAGACCGCTTTAAGGGTACAAAGGGGGCGCTGCTGAGCACACTTCAGAGCGTTAAAATGCTAAATGGGACGGCCTACGGACTCGTAGATTCGGCGAGCACGTGCAATTTAAGTCCACGAGACCGAAAGTCCACATGAAGTGCGCCATTTGGGACAGGGCCAATAATTCGAACGTCAACAATCGCTTAGAGCACTTCTTCAATATAACTGAATAGCAGTTATAGCTCCCTCTAGTGGTATGCTTGCATGTCTACGTATGCAAAGTGCTACACAAATGCAGTCCTCTCTGTGGACTCAGTTGTTTTCCATCAGGAAGATGATATTTCGTGGGTCTACGCCGTTGTCCTCTTGGGTTAGGAGGGAATAGAGACGAGCTGCTGTGGCTTGGTCCCTCTCACGGATGCTCCATTTGCGCAGCATGGCGAAAACCCGCTCTTGGTGTAGTTTGTTATCCTCCTCTATCTGCTGAAGAGTGGTGGTGCTCATACCTAGTGCCATTATGCCCACCTGCCTCCAGCTGTTCCCAATGTAGCCGGCCACCTTCATCATCTCCTTCTCACTCACCATCCTGGACTCTGAGAAAAAACAAAGTTACGTAATGCAGCCGTGCGAACACGAAGCTGAACAGAAGATGCAAAGCAGATGTGACTCACTGATTATAGACGGCTTCTCCTGTAGAACATCGTTTTCCAACACCTCATGCCTTCGTTTGGCTGTCGTCTCTGATAAACCAACATCATTTTCAAATTACAAATAGATTATGCATGTACTGGGAAGTTTGAAGGCAATAGGTGAACGCTGAACGGGCATTTTTTACCCCATAAATTAAAAGGAAATATATATGTATATATACAGTAATAGTAAAAGAGGACCCTTAAGGCTCGTTCACACCAGGAATGATAACTATTTAGCGTCCACACCAACGCACAATAGCGTTCTGTTTATTCTAAGCAGGCACTGCAGTTTTGTTGTCTGCCACTTTAAATGCTAGAGCTCTTTACAGCAAGATGGATTCTGATTGGCTGTCAATGTTTTTATCTTTCAGCAGCTGGAAAATATGGTTCTGAAAGTGATTCCAACGATATTGTTTCTCTGTTGTCATTATAGTTGTGATGTGGACTCTGCTATTCTTTTACATTAAGAACGATTTTTAGAACTAAATGTTTATCGTTATAGTTATCGTCCTTGGTGTGAATGGGCCTTTATAATTATTTAGAGTTTAAATCTCATAACTGTTACATAAAAAGATATATTATCTTTCTCCTCAAGAGTATTTATATATTATGATAGCATTTATTTAATTAAATGTAATTTTCAAAAATCATTGCAAGACAGTATTTTTTACTATAATACAGTAAAAATGAATGAGAAACATTAAAAATGAAAAGGAAAATAACCTGAAGTAACCTTGATTTTCTCTCTCTCTCTCTATTTATTTATTTCAGTCTTTCTGTTCAATTATTATTACTTTTATGTGAATCTTTGTTTTTTTTTACTTTTTTGTTATAATGTAAGTTTTTATTTAAACAAAAGTGTAGTTACAAATTATCTTCTGCTGAAATTCTAAATAAAAACTTTTTTTTTAAATTACTTGACACGTTACAGTAAGTCTTAATGTGTTCATAGTAGATAAGGGATGGTTTATAAGATCATACCTGTGGTATTTGGTGTCTTGCGTTTGTTGATTTGCAATTTTTGAAGGAATTGCAGTTTAGGAAATGTCTCTTGCATGTCTTGTGTTTTCAGCAATTTGAGGAAACTCAGAGCACGCTTGTTGTCTTTGTGCATCACATAATCCAAGATCTCCCGTACCTGCTTTGAACGCGTGTCAATGTCTTTGATGTTGTTGTACTCATTATTGGACAGTATGCCACGGGCATGGCAATGCTGAAGCAGGAAGTCTGTATCTCCCATCAGGGCCTGCAGGAGAACCAGCTTGTGTTTCTGAATGAGCTTGGTGCCATCTACTGGTCCATCCATTGCCTTTTGTGTTTGGTCAATGATGTGAAAACCTGGGTTTGACACTGGTTTTGAAAACGAAGATTAAGGCTGTAACAAAACCAGAAATTAAATTGTTTTAAAAAACAAACGTATATAATTATATGTTATTATAAAAATAAATAACCACGACACTTTAACTACACTACAGCTAATTATTTCATATCCTTTTAACATTTTAACAAATACTGGTTAATCAATATCTGTAAGAAATGCAAATAAATGGGATCAGCAAAATAAATATTTACATTTTTTCTTTCTTTAAACAACTCAGTTACTTTTAAAAGTAATTCGTTACAATATTGTTACTCCCTTAAGACGTAACTAAGGGAGTTTTCAACTAAAAATGGACAACTTTTTATGCGTTTTGGCTGTTCATTTACACGACAATGGCGTTTTGGGGACCTGAAAACACAAACTTCTGAAAACGGGTTTCAAAGTGGAAGTTTTTGAAAACAACACCGTTAGCGTCTCTGTGTAAACTACAAAAACGTGAATTTGTGAAAACAGTGAATGCAGAAGATTAGGACAAAGCAGAAGAAAGTTTGACACTCTTACTAAATATAAATAATAACAAAGAAAATAAAACACAATGTGATGTTTATCTAAAGTAATTTTTTATTATTAGTATGGTTGAATTGGATCATCAAAGGTCAGCAGCAAAGACGTTGTTTAATAAAGTGAGATTAAATACATAAATTATATTTGTTTATAATTTACCATACTTAATCATTGCAGGTTTGCGTAAAAGTTTGCATTACCATTTCTATTCATTTTGAGGGACAGTGAATCTATTTTTGTGCAAGTGAGATGAGTAAATGCATGGTAACATTTAGTCTAGAACTACAGTAGCCATCATGTTCACACACAACGCCTCTGCACTCACTCCTGATTTCTCTCAGGACAAGAGAGCTGTCAGTCAATAAATGGGAAAACAAAGTAATTGTGTTACTTATTTAAAAAAACAACTGTTACTTGAAAAAGTAATCTGATTACACAACTTGTAATGCACTACACCCAACACTGATCTGTTCATAAATTTATTTTAAAAATAAATCATTTATTCCCCATATGGTTCTTTTTACCTATATGAAACACTGAAAATTCTGAACTAAAGGACTTGATAGATAGGTAAGAGAATATTTTATTGATCCCCTTAGGGAAAATTGAGCCATTGCACTAATAGACATATCAAAAATTAGAATAACTAATAATAAAATACAATACAATAATATAGTGAAATATGAAACACATAAAATATAGCATATATTGTGTAATAAAATATTTGGTGTTGTGACAAGAAGCAGCTATATAATAACAGATCAACAGATGACCTCCTATGACTGTAGCTGAAGCATCATTGGTGGAGCTGAAGGAAGTGTGTGTATCTTCATCATGTGTCCCTCCCATTGACAAGTTGTTTTTAATAACCGCACTGTTATCACTTCCAGATTATGAAGAACATATATCTTATAGATTTCAATGCTAAATGCACGTGATGAATACACACACATTAATCGAATAATGCTGCAATATCTATTTTATTGTTGGTGTATAAGTGTGAATGGCGCATCTCCCTTATTTGCATGATCTGTAGGGGACTTCCAGTTTAGTGCTTCACTATCACAGCTGCGTCATCTTTGTTTACATTAAATAAACGACGATGGCGCACATTTTATTAAATTAGTAGAGCTTTTGTTTCCTCAGGAATAATAGAATAGGCTAAACTGCCCCCATTTACATGTGCATATCGATTACAAACACCTTGCAAACACTCGCATCATTAGAGAAGCAAAAAGACGCGCGAAAAACGGAAAAGAACAAAGAGATACTCATTTCATCAACTGATGCAGCACGCTCGTGCAGTTCCGATCTACTTCCGTTTAAAAATAAAACAGCCTTATTGTTGCACATTTGCGCGCGGTCACGTTGTTTTCAGGTTATTTTTTATTGTAGCATAGAAACTGAAAGTTTGAAATTCAGCGCTTTTTTATCTACACAGAGAAATAGAAATCACCGAAGGGTACTCTACTACACACATTAATGAAATAACATTTCGAAAGTCAGTTTGGTTTACCTCAGTTTGGCGGAGGGAAACGATGTCTCGTGTCTCATCCACACTTCATCCGCATGTAATATGATATTGATAAAACATCTCCTGCTGCTGCCGCCGCCTTCTGGACAGGCATTGTTATTCATTTACCTACAGCTAATGCTATTTCTGTATGCAAACTTTCACTATCAACAACTCAAGTGCCCCTTCTTTTTTATTCTAATTAATTCCTATTAAACAGATTTGACACACTGAACTTAAAGTTTCCCTGAATTTGTGATTCACCCACTTTAAAATGAGTCATGAATGGGAGTGTGATGAAACATCAGTGCTTCTTCACTTTAGTCTATCTAGCCTAAGGGAAGTGATCATAATAAACTGCTGAGACAGAAATAATGAACTGGTAAATTATGAAGAAATTTGTTCTCCACTGGTGATTGCAAATATCAGAGATGTCTCAGAGATGTTTTGTTCATGTCTGCCTTCTGACCTGGCACATATTTCTACCTTGCCTATAATTTTAGATAAAAATAGAAAATATTTTAGGCCTATAAGAAAGTAATAAGTATATTCAGTATTTGACACCTGAACTAGCACTAACAGAGGAAATAAAAAGAGATGATAATAACCATATTTTGCCTGGCTCTATATAGCCTGCATTCTTTGGAAGAGAACATTTGTTTAGGGCTAAAGTGTGTATGATGTATATTTGATGTTTCATTTGATATTTTGTCCATGTTTTTATAGGAAAGCTAAACAACAACATGTTTAATATTTTATTCAATATTTTTTAATTTTTTATTCATATTTTATTAACATACTTAAAATTGAAATAAACGTGCAATTTAGAAGGAAATGTGAATTAATTTGAAACACGATTCAAAGGGAACATGTTGTTATTTTTTATTTTACATTATATATATATATATATATATATGTGTGTGTGTGTGTGTGTAGGCCTATATGTACTGTGTGTGTGTATATATATACACACATACATATAGGCCTACACACATACTGTATATATATATATACACAGTATATATACAGATATTTGAAATATATAATACATATATATTTGAATATGTACACACATATATATATGAACACACACACACACACACACATACACACATATATATATACAGCATATACAATATGTTTAAATAATATTTAGCAATGTGCAGAAAGGCGTAATCTAACACCGTGGAATGTTGTGCCTATTCTCCAGCAAGACTTCCATGTGACAGGGATTAATGAAAGTGATCCAGTGAGCCTGAAGACTCCTGGAGAGGCTCCCGCTGCTTTGTGTTCCCACAGTTTTTGGTCCATGATACATATACGCAATCTAATGAGAAAGAACATTACATAAAAAATAAATAAAAATGTGAATTACACATTATTATTATTATTATTAATTATTTTTTTACAATCTTTATTGTCCTAATGGCTTTTATTTTTGTCTTTTGATTTTGGGGTGAAATATGAGCTGGACATAAAGGAGGGGACTTTTGCTCACTTCCAGGAATCCTGTGGGATTCCCAGACTGAGTAGAAGCCTTGTTGACTCACTTTGTCTGTTCTAGTGAGAGTCTGATGATGAATTGCTGAGCCCTGAAGTGGGAGGGGCATTACCTGCTAGGTGCAAAGCAGCTCTCTTCCCATTGGCTGAGAGGATGCAGTATATTTCCTCACTCACTAACAATGTGAGAGTGAGCAGCAGAGCAGAGTGTTCAGAGCATTGAGTGGACTGAGAGGCCAGCTAGAAACCTCTTTGGCACATCCACTGAACGATTCCAAGAGGAGGCTGAAAGACTGCAAACTTAAGAGTATGTATGTTTTGATTGTGTTTCATGGTCCTTTGTTTCTGTCAATGCCTTCATAGGGTTTGTCGTTTGGCATTTTGAGTGCATGCTCTGTGGTTTTGTTTAATTGAGCTGCTTCCCACTTTTCACTCTTTTCAATGGTCCCACCAGCCATATGTTTCTGAATGAGTCTCTGGATTAGATTGTTTCATTTAAAAAGGGTAGCTTTCTTTTGAGTACCATGAAATGAAAAAAAAAACCTTAAAATGGCTGTCTTTCATTCTGGAATACATCAAGATGTTGATTTTAGAAAGTGTTTTTTCTTTGTGTCAAAAAAAGTTTGAGAGCTTTAATATGTAGCTTAATACTAAATATGCCGATTAGTGATCATATAACATGCGGTTTAATGAGGACATATATGAATGCATCATTGCATTATGCAGGGCTCCCACTGTCATTGAATTTTTGAAAATAGGCCTGGACAATTCATACATTTCTACATTAAAAGGTATTTTGACTAGGTAAACATTGCTTTTTGTGAGTTGAGGATAACTTCTGGGAGACTTGTCTAAGCATGCTGAAGTGTTGGTGTGACCTGAGTGTGATGTTTCTGCTTCATTGACCCTCTGAATGTTCTCCTGTCATTTAAACACAAGTGTACAGCATTTTCTGAATGGTTGAGTGTCTCCTTGAAGCAAATCAGTAATTGTGGAAAGCCCTCAGCTTTAATTTGTTCACATTTAGGAAGTTTCTGGATGCGAAAGAGTGCATCATCTGCTGAGTCACATCCTAATGTCTCTATATCAGACCCTTGAGATCTCTTAGATTAATAAAACTTTACCAAAATTATTTGGTAACACTTTGACATGACTCTTTCCCAGACTATATAGCAAGCAACTAGTTGTGTTTAAGGTTTTTATAGCTGTAAAGCGTGATGCATTAGTAATCTGAGGTAATGATGACTCCGTTACTGTCTCAGCAGCTTCAGTGATACGGAGACTGACGTTGCATCACCCAAAACAAAGCCCGGCTCAGCTGTAAAGGGTGGGAGAACGTGCTTAAAAAGATAAAATGCTGGTTAATTGGAAGCAGTTTTATCACTGAAACCTAATCAGAACATTTCAGTCTATCATATTAAAGACATGGCTAAGGACAGGTTTGTGGTTGCCCACAAATGATCAGATTCCTGTGAATTTTGTGAGAACCTTAACAGCTATGAGATCATGTGAGATAAGAATATCCTGTCGTATCAGGCATAAGTCACAGCATGTCTGAATGATCAGGTGAGCGGCTTCAGGTGTTGTGCACTGGTGCCGAATGACTCATTCATTTCAGGAGTAATATGGGAAAACGTTTTCTTCCTCTTTCGGATGTTCCACAGGTGTTTTGGGGATTTCATGACGCATTTGATTTGTGCAATCCCACGGTTGCCTTCAGTATAATTGGATGATTGTTATACATTTAGTGCAGACTGAGCATTGTACAGTTTAAAATAAGGTTTTTATTCATATCTATTGAAATTTCGGATATGCATATTGTGATGGAATATTGAAAAAATATACATGGTACTGAAAAAAAAAAACCTTTTTCATATTTGCAGTGGGGTTTACTGAATCTATAAAAGTTGAAACCCTCTGGTTTGGTTTAATCAACAACAAAGGAGCAAGCTGTTTTGTCTTAATTTTCATATTTGAAATGCCTCTGTCCTAACAGAAATCAAGATACCAAGATGGCAGTCAGTTCATTTCACCGTGGGCAATGGGCCTCACAGTCCTTGAGAGTTACGGCAAAGGAGCTCTCCATTGTTGGTGTGCGAGGCAAAAGCACGGCCATTGCTGAACGATTTTCCAAGTAAGCAAATTACAGGATTTGCATATCTTAAGCTGATCTCACTTGTCATTTAACCTCTCCTACTTGCTTTCACTTTAGCACCCCTTTTAGTGCTCTTTAAACAGTGTTTCACAACGCACTTCTGTTTTAAATGCTGCAGTTTTGTTCTAAATTGGTTTATGGTGTTAAAAACTCTGCTCCAACATCATTGGGAGGTTTTCCCTTTCTCTTCATTCTTTTGTTCACCGTGAAAGCGGCGTCAAATCTTTTAATGGAGTCAACAGCCAGACACAGAGGTACGGTGGGGTTCAGAAGTCTGAGACCACTGATAAAAATGTATCCATTTTGTATTTTTAATGCAAATTAATACCACTTTTAAGTACAAATTATATTATCAGCATAAAAATTTGAATGAATTTGCACAAATTTACTGCATTTAGAAATAGTGACGTAAAATGAGTGTTAAGTTCTTATTCATTTCTTATTTAGAAATTTTCCGAATCCTAAAGCTTTCCAAATGCAAGTTCCATATTGAATTCTCTCAGACATTGAAACATGTTTGATTTACAGCTGAATGTCTGCTGCCCGACTCATTAGATGGTCCCTATTTTTAAATGCAGTAAATTTGTGCAACTGAACGTGTGAACTTCATTCAAATTTTTATGCTGATAATATAATTTGTACTTAAAAGTGGTATTAATTTGCATTAAAAATACAAAATGGATACATTTTTGTCTTTGTTGGCTCTCAGTCAGTGTGTTTCTGTGCCGAGGAATTTCTCCAAGCATCTGGAGTTTTTCCAGTGCATCTCCTGTCAGATTTTCTGATGTCTTTTCCAGGGTTCTGCCTCTGGCTTCCTCTCTACACATACATCAATGACTTCCACATCCTCAAAACTGTAGATTTTCCAGCTGAATTAGTGAGCATCAAAGAAATCAAAGATTAAATGGTTTATAATCTGATGATCACTGACCTTTGATAGATGTGGGCAAATATGAATCCTGTGTTTTAGCATTTGGCTGTTTTAAACGGTTCAACTGTTGTTTTGCAGTATAGGCTACATTCAGGGCTATGATTATTGTCTTTATCTGTGTATCTCTCCAGCTAACCTTCATTCAGAGCCAGCCGTTAGTTTGAATCGGTATTTCCTTTGAAAATCAGATTTCCTTTGAAAACTTCCTGCTTTCAGTGGTTGGGATTTTTTTTTAAAGTCCCTCCAACAGATGGTTGGTGTATCTGGAAGCCCTTCAGGCTAGCTTTCAAGTTTCATTGTTAACATGTCATAAGAATAAAACTAGAAGTGAAATCAAGACAGTCCAGTTGTTTGCACTGCTATATATGACCACTAGAGGCCACCGGTTATCAAAAGTGATCTTTTAGTTTTTATTTAGGCAGATAAAAGGAGATACAGCCTTTAAACTCGGAACAGCATTTATTGACTAGGTAAACATTGCTTTTTGTGAGTTGAGGATAACTTCTGGGAGACTTGTCTAAGCATGCTGAAGTGTTGGTGTGACCTGAGTGTGATGTTTCTGCTTCATTGACCCTCTGAATGTTCTCCTGTCATTTAAACACAAGTGTACAGCATTTTCTGAATGGTTGAGTGTCTCCATGAAGCAAATCAGTAATTGTGGAAAGCCCTCAGCTTTCATTTTTTTTTACTTTTAGTTCATAAAATTAAAACGAATTAAAATCAAGACAGTTCAGTTGTTTGCACTGCTACGTATGACCAGTAGAGGCCACCGATGATCAAAAGTGATCTTTTAGTTTTTAGGCAGATAAAATGAGATGCAGACTAGCATAACATAAGCCAAACAATAAAAACACCATCTGTTGATTGGCCAGATATTATGGTGTTTAAAATGCACAGAAACTAGCTAATCTTCATTGAGGACCAGAAAACAGTTGAGTGAACAATTTTTCCACTATTTCTTTTCAGGTACCAGAAAGCAGCAGAAGAAACAAGTTCAGACAAGAAAAAAGTGAGTTCTCACCATCTTGTTATTCATTCCATTGCTATAATGACTCACTGCCTGTCTGTCTATCTGTCCTATCTATCTGTCTCTCTCTCTATCTGTATCTAACTATCTGTCTGTCTGTAACACTACTCTGAGCTGCTGCTGCTGTTTAGACACACACATTCAGTGTCCAGTCATCTTAATCCTTATTTAGAAGTCTTAATCTGCAGGTAATTCCCATGCGCTTTACATAACTGGTTCAGTCAATCTGTGCCCTCCTGAATGTGTAGAGTGTGTGTGTCTTCATAAATACTGTGAGGAAACTTCAGTGAACTGTGTGTTAGTGTTTGTCAGGATGAAGGAGTTGCAGAAATGACGATGTGCAGGATGAAGGATGTAGGTATGAGCTATCTGACTGGATTTGAAAGAGATTGCAGCTGGTTCACGTCATGTTTAGTTTTTGCATTGAAGTTTTGTTCAACTTATTAAATGAAAGGTTTTGATTTTCTGCCCCATTGTGAGGGCCTTGCATTATGTTTTGGCAGACAGTTCAGAGTGTTTGTGTCAGGCCTGGAATTTGAGGCAGAAGTATTTGAGCTGTTGTAGCATGCAGGGTCAAAACTAGGGTCAAAATGGCATGCTTTAGTATGTGAGCACACAAGAAATATTGATTTATATTTAGGGCTTGACATGATTTTTTTTTTTTTTAAATCCCTAGCTGATGTTTTTCTTTCTTTTTTTTTCTAGAAACTAGTTTTTTTTTTGTTGAAACTTTCTAGTTTTGTATTTTGTGTAGTTGACATTTACGCATTTATTTATGAAAAGTGATATACATATCCATGAATATGTTGACAAATGACTGTTAACAGTGTAGTGTACATAATGTCATATTGTGCCAGTATGCGCTACATTAAAAAATGAAGGAAACCCCACATACTCATTTCCAGTCATTAGTATTCTGAAATTAAGCTATCAATAACTTGTTTTAAAAGTAATGTATGCCTATGTACTTTAACACTAATTTTATAATCTCTTGTTGTCAGTTTATATTTCATCAACGGTTAACTTATATTAAAAAAATAGTTTTTTAATAAAAAGCTTAAATGTTAATTGTTTCACACAACCTGGACATGTGACTACGCATGTAATGTCTCTCAAAAACTTTCCTTTTCCCCGTTTCCTGTCACTGCTTCCTCTTTTATGTTCTTCCTGGTTTTTCTGTCCCGTTAAGGGGGTTGGCCTAATTCCCTCATGCACATAGTTTCAAAAGACTAGCATCTGGTGCTGCGTTTTCTCCCCCCCCCCCCTCATTTCCACCAGAACAGACTGAGAGAACCACTCCTTCCATTTGCCAGGTTTCTGAAGCTTTTGTAGTCAACCTTTTCTAACAAACTACTACTAATCTACCAACTAATGACAAGATACTCAATCATTTCATTCTGTTTACTGCTTTTCTGAAGGCCTCAGATACTTGATCAGTGAGTAATGTAATTTTAATCATGAATATTTTTATTAGTACTTTTTATATGGACTTTTAATCAGAATTTAAGTTTAAAGCTATGTCTTACTCAAAACTCAACAATGAAATGGCTAAATCTGTATGTGTTGTTTTATGTTTTAGATTTTAGGAATAGATCGATACAGTTAGTCCACTGTCTTGATTGTCTTGATTGTCTCGATTGTCTCGATTGTCTTGTTAAAGATAAGAAGTTGAGAAACCCAAGGAGTGAACCCTCTTCTGAAATTCTCTTTGTCCTGATACAGTCTCTGGAGAAATCGACTCCTTCCATGCGCAACGGCAATCTGAGTATCCTAAAGCAGCTCTGGGAACAACCAGCCGAGACGCCTAGATCTCCAGAACCCCAAATGCACTCACGGCAGACGGAGATCCATCAGCAGCACCCTTTAGATCCCAGTGTTGACACTCCACTGGAATCCACAGACGTCCAGATGTTGAGCGACAGTGACCAGCCGATGGAGAAGTGGACGCCAAGAGATGTGGAGACTCCCACTGTGCCTCTCAACAGCCTGAAGATGATGTTTGAGAAAGGAGAGACCATTCACAACAATGTAAGTACAACTAATCATCTAAAATGGTACATATTATCTTAAGGTATTTTGTCGGTTTAGTATATAACACCTCTTGGTCACCGTGATTTTACCAAGTTAGACATGTTCCCGGATCAACATATTTTGTTCCTGTCCAAAAAGGTTGTCCTAAAGCTAGCCCTACCTGTAACGTATCCCTAAAATCAGAGAGAAATGATAGGTGAATGACACTGATGTAGAAGCACCTAAACCTGGTTGTAAGCCTATACTTGACATAAGCTGTAAACCTGTCTCTCAAATCTGATTGGATGATTGAAATGTTGTTCCAGGATCAACAAAGATGTTGATCCAGGAACATGTTGCACTTGGTGAAATCACGTTCACCAACACGTCTTAGTGAATTGTTGCACTTGGTGAAGGAATTTAAATTGCGTGTGTAATTGTAAAAAGGCCATATTTTTCACATTTTGCATAATTGTTCCTACTTTTCATATCGTTTCCTCTTATAAAAAAGGTTCATTGAGGCCTCTTGGACCAAAACGGTGAAAATCTAGTTTTTCATGACCAGTTTTACCTGTTCTCTGACCCTCAGAATTAAAACCCCCTTTTTGACTACTGTAGTTTTAGGACTTCACTATGTAAATGACCTCTGTTATGGTTGGCTAACCTTTGCAAACACGGAGGTGTTGATATGTAAATGATGGTGGTCCTATGTTAATGAACTGATGGTTTTGTACAGACAATACTGTTCAAAAGTTTGGGGTCAGTATTATTATTTGAAAAACTAATACTTTTATTTAGCAGGGATGCATTAAACTGATCAAAATTGACAGTAAAGACATTTATAATGTTGAAGATTTCTATTTTTAAATAAATGCGGTTCTTTTGAACTTTCTATTCATCAAAGAATCCTGTACAGCGTTTCCAGAAAAATATTAAGTAGCAAAACTGTTTTCAACATTAATAATAATGATAAATCTTTCTTGAAGGATCATGTGTCACTAAAGACTGGAGCAATGATGCTAAAAATTCAGCTTTGAAACCACAGCAACATATTAAGCGTTATATTAAAATAGAAAGAAGTTATTTAAAATTGGAATAATTTTTCACATTGATCCTGTTTTTACTGTATTTTTCATTTAATAAATGCAGCCTTGGTGAGCAAAAATGACTTTTCTTTTTTCTTTTTAAGTCATTCCAACCTGTTTTTGCTTAGTTCACATTCATAAATATTCTACAGTCAAACCAAAAATTATTCAGACACCATATATAATTTTGTATATTTTTTTTTTACTAGTGGGTGCAGGACACTATAGTTCATTTATGTATAGCAAAATAAAGTAAACTGTGACATAGTATACCCAAAAAGTCTTCATACAGTGTACAACCAGTACAATTGATAAAAATTGGGCCCAAAAATTATTCAGACACTTTGACCTGGCCATGTTTTGCTTGTGTTTTTTCTTTACTTGCTAATGCGACCTTTTTACACCACAGACTGAACAAAATTAAGCATTGCTTGGTAATTTGTTGACCTAAATTGGTATCATCTAACAGAAGGATGGCCAAAACCAGTGAAATAGCAACTGATTTGATAACTCTGAGTTCTTGTCATATTTTATTACCATTTTCTAAACTATAGCAAATAAACGGTGATAATGTGAGAAATGTTGAAGGTGTCTGAATATATTTAGGTTTGACTGTAGGTCTGACTGGGAAGGATGCTTTGCACTGTGAGGGCTGTATTATGTGTACATATTAGATCTATTTTTTTTTATAGTAAAAGATTGAAGTTCTGTTTTCCATCATATTTCGTCCCCTTCTAGTATACCGTATGCATGTAAGATTAAACGCAGTCATCAAGACTACTTGATCAAACAGTATCTGTCTGTTCTGCTTGCTGGATATCTGCTTGTATTCAAAACGTTCAAGAGACTGGTCATGCTGTGAGTCACATGGTCTGTGGTCATGAAGACACCAGTGTGCTTCTCTCTCTGGGTTCTGAGGTTTCAGTAGGTTCACTGCTCTTCTAAACAGCCTGCAGGTTCAACTATTGTCAGTTTGTGCTCTCTAACTTTGTATAAAATGTTACTTGGAGTTAGTGCTTTGTTTAAACAGCTATCCCTGAGTATTAAACTTTGACATGCCATGTAAATGGCAATATTACAGTACTTTTCTAAGTGATTAGACTTATGATTTTTCCCTGACAGACAGTAAAATGGCTTAAAATGGTCTAGTGAATAGAACATCACACTGTAAAAAAAAGTAGCTGCCTTAAACATTCAAGGTGATTGTACTTCATTTAAGTCATTGCAACTTAAATTACACTAAACTGACTTAAAATGAGTTGAATCTTGTATAACTTGTTTAAAAAAAATTATATTAATTTCTTAATTTAGTTTGATGATCGATAAGTTATGACAACATGTTTTTACATTGTAAAAATATATATACTTGAGTTAAAAAGCAGTGCATAGAGAAATGAGAGTGGCTTCTTTTGACTTGGGCATGTAGGCAACCAATCAGAACACCTTAGTAACTGCATAGCAGTGCAACTAAAAATCACTCAAGAGTCAGAATACATTAGCAACCACATAGCAACACCCACAACTCCCTAGCATTTTTGTGATGTTTAAATGCCAATAACCACTCACATTTCTGTCAGAAGATGTAAAAATCCAGTTCTTCTAAACCTTGTTTTTAAACAAGATCCATTGTACTTTACTGTTCTGAATCTCTGATCCATTGTTCTCTACTAGTCTGTGTGGTTAAAGATAAAATGAACATTCTTGTGGTGTCTTTTTAGTCACACCTCGTCTTCATCTGATATTGTGTATTCTTTAATCAATTTTTTTTGGAACAGTCAAAGGTTATGTGCTTAAAATAAACCGGGACTTCACCATACACAATGGTTTCTCTTGTTTCGCGGACTGGAAAGGGAATCGTTCCCAACATTTTATCTGGAAAAAAGCAAGCTTAAGGAGTGTGGGTGGAGGAGAGGAAAAGACTGAAACTGAATGGATTTTACTGTCACCAGTGGTTCAAAACGTCCCAGCATGCAATGAACAATGTTTTGATCCACACCATACTTATGCTTCTTCTAAAGACAAACATCATTATGGCTCATACTAGGGGCTTTTCACTTCCCCAATCCAAAGCATTATACTTTCAGCTGCTGTGATTTTTAATGACTGAATCAGTGATTAGAACTTGTGATTAGGTAAGTTACTCTAAAAAAGTAATTAATTACTAGCTACTAATTACATATTCAACAGTGTAATCTGATTACTGTACTAATTACTCTCTCCAAAAAGTGTCGAATTACTTTCTAGATCCTATATCAACCCCAACTATTTGAACAATACAAGACAGACATGAAACTGCCCTTTTAATGAATTCAAATAAATAATATAAAATTCCATAAATTATTCTTGAACTAACCAAAGTATTTAAAGGGAGAAGGTTACATTAAAAACACACATTTTAACATTAGATGTTAAATTGGTTTATATAGAATTATTCTCCACAGCCGATACAGTATTTAATGCAATTACATCTGAAGTAACTAATTAAATTACAGTAAAATTAAGAGTAATCCCTTTACTTTTTCAAGGGAAAAGTAATTCAATTACAGTAATTAATGACTTAGTAATGCATTACCCAACACTGCTTGTGGATCATTGAATTGTTTAGTCCGATCAGCCAGTTCATGGAAAAGAAATGTTTCAAAAGAACACTGTTCATAGTTTTGGTTCTTCAGTTCAGCTCACTGACTCAATGATCTGGTTGCAGCAGTTCTCAAATTAATTGACTTATTTTTTTTTTTCCCTCATGCAAAGCCACATAGTTTCATGTTTGGGTTAAACCCAAACTACTCTACCTCTCAAAAGACATTTCCATCATTAGACTGGGATGAGGTTGCTCTCATGTAAAGTCTGCTGTTCTCACTGGGGGGCTGATGTCATGAGATGAACATCCACATGATCGCTGCAGGGTTCGAGCTCTCTGCTCTCATCAAAGCCAAACTTCTCTCCTTTAACCTGGGGGATAGTCATGAGGGAGAGAGAGAGACTGAAATTAAGTGAACTCATCATCTACCTCCTCCAGCATTTTAAAAAAAACATCTCCTGCAGAGATTTGTTTTATAAATGTCGGTGGATATTGAATTTGGGGTGCTTAGAGAGTTGAACTGACTGTAAAAAGCAGTTAATAAAGAAGTTCTAGATATGATCAGACGTGATGATGTGCAGTGTCTGTAGGGAGGACACATTTCGTAAAAAGCTATACCTTCGTAGATGTTTTGCCATCCGGGATACGTCATTAGTTGTAGAAAGAAGCGGCAGAATGAATAATCAGACTATAATATATTATGTCTGTTATACATTTATTAGCAATTTTGTGTCATAATAATGATAATACTAATCCTACTAATTATTATTATTATTATTAATACTGATAGTTGTTATAATTGACATTATTTCAAGGATAAAATAAAATGAAAGCATACTGAAACAAAATTATGAAGACAAAGATTATATATAAATTTGATGGATATTAGTGATGCACCGACATGAATAACCGATAATTCTTTATATTTGAAAGCTGATAACCGATATATTGGCCGATAAATCTAAATCCAAATGTGTATATCATTTTTGAGAGCTTGATTACAAAAACAAAAGTTTCACCATTAAAAGACATGTCTCCGCTGAAGGAAATAATGCATTATTTATCGGCTTTAAAATATCCTCTTATCGGACCGATAATATTAAAAATGAACATTTATCGACCGATATATCATACATCCCTAACATTTCATCTTTTGCGACAGATTTTATTCTCTGATAACATAAGGAAAGGACGCTCCTCATTTTTGGCAGGCCGTGGCTCAGATGTTCCCATCTTTTGTGTGTTTTGGATTAATAAAGGGTCTTTTGTCTGGGCTAATGCCCCCTGTGGCTTCGCTGCCTTTGCCTTTTGTACTGTGTTTATTTCGCGCTCCCCTGGTGTCCACACACCAGCCTGGAGACGCTGCACTGATGCCTGGCCGGCTGGATCCCCTTACAGCCCCGCTGATGGCTAATCCATGACTGGGGGGTGGGCTGGTTTCAGCGCCCTGTTTGGATTTGGAGGTTCAGCCAGCTGCCTACCCCACCCCACCCTCTCAGCCCTCCCCCTCTCCATCTCTCCCGCGGCTGCCAGCAAAACACTGGCATGCTCACCGTCTTTAATCTGCTCTCAGAGCACTGCCGGCCTTTAGTCAGACAGACTCGGCTCCGTAAATCTCCAGGAATCACTGCGGACCGCCCGTTGCTGCCTGTCTGATTTTAAATAGGTAAGACGCGTGGCTTTCAGATCGATACTGATATTGTTACATGTGGAAACTCTCTGTTCGGTCGGTGGGATGATGTCAGTTTTAGTTCCTGTTGTACTGCCTTCCTGAGAACAATGGCAATGGATACAGCAGACTTTTTGGAGGATGTGTTTGTGCTGGGATTGATTGCAGTGTTGTTGGACAATATGTGCTAGGCACTTCTTGGAAAAGTAAATGTTTTGTTTTTGTTATTTTCTGAAACAAAAGCAGAGAAGTAATACCACTACAATTAAAAAACGCTAAATGGTGCAAGAACTTTATATATAGGCTAATATGTGTTCAGTTAATCATCTTACAGAAAAGTTTATGACCCAAACATTGTGACAAAAGCAGCTCTTTTTATTTAATTTATTATTTGTTTAATTACAAGTAATACAATTCAGCTGTATCAACAGGGCACCAAATTGTTGGGTTAATGTAAGTGTAGTAACGGTGGTGTTGTCCACTGGTTTGTTCTGGTCTCCATGTGTCTGTCCACCGGGTGTATTGAATTGCATGAGAGCTGTTGTGCTGTGTGTGCTGGAGTTGTTGTGGCAGTAAAGCCAGACGCTGGTGTCTGTCCACGGCTCTCTCAGAGCTCATTAGAGGATTATTGATGCCAGTGGAGGAACTGACCAGCCAGGGCAGGAGACATGTTTAAACACTGCTGTCATGGCTTTAAATGTCTCTTGTCACCTTACTAATTAGTGCTGTTTGCTAAAGTAAGCATCATTATTATTACTTTAGCTCATACTTGGGGTCTGGGGATTTGAACAAACCCCTTACCCGTCCCAGAGTATTAAACTCTGCGGCTTAACTCATCCCACACAGAATAAGAATAGAATAAGGCAGAATAATGAATTTTTTTTTGTTGGAATGACGGCCAATAAAATAATGACATGTCAATCATATTCTTTGACTTTTGTAAATAACATTTAATAATTGTTTATATACATTGAAGATGGAAGCATGAGCCAATTTGCTATGAATAATCATTTTAAATATTTAATAAACGTTATATTTTAATTAGGGATGCACAATATATCGGTATCGGCAGATATATCTTCGTCTTTAATGTTATCATTATCGGCCTGATAAGAAAATTTGACCGATATATTAAAGCCGATATGGATTGTTTCCTTCAGCTGAGACACTTCAGATGTGCACTGTTCGCCATGATGGATTTGAATTGCTTAATATGATTGGAATCACTTGGAAAAAGGAAAATATAGTTAAGTGCAACATGTCTCTGTCACATAGGCTACATAAAATGATAATGAGAACATTATAATTGTGTGTTTGGGACATGGCTTTTTATGGTAAGACCTTTTGTTTTTGTAACCAGGCTCTCAAAATGATATAAAATATAAATATAAAATTCAAATATAAAAAATTATCGGTAATCGTACCGGCCAAACATTTCATATCGGTGCATCCCTAATTTTAATAAAAAAGGCAATTATTAGACGGTGTAGAGAAACAGGAAATTATTGGGTAGAGAGAGGGGGAATGGGATCAAATCTTCATTGGCTCTATATGAAATCTATAATCTATATGAAGTTATGTTTCTCAGTGAATATCCTGTTTTATTCTGAAATGCATCACAGTAAAGTAGTAAAATAGTTGGTAAATGGCCATTCATGTTGACTTTAAGGACTTTTTAATGTTCTCTTTGTCTTTGCTCTGTGCTTAGAACTCCTCGTTAACACATGTTTCTTTGTCTGTTTAGGTGTCCAGAGAACCAGGGAAAACAGGAGACAGTGGATCTGAGAATATGGAACCAGGAGACAAAGGTACAGAATCAAACACAACACTAAACAAAAACACTCCAGAGTCTAATAGTTTGTGCAATATGTTTTCAGTTAAATGATTTCACATCTTGAACATCCTGCTTTCTTTTTGCAACACTGTAAGAATGAAAGTGCTGATGGCAGTTCTGTGGAAATTGCTGTTTCCTATTCCCACTTTGACCTTGTGGCTCTCATTTTTTCTTGCGCATATGCTTTTTTTTCTTCTTCATTGTATGATTCAGAGACCCCACTGATTCTCTTTTTCTTTCTTAATTCACAGAAAGTCTTGACTCTGGAGTCAAAATGGTGGAGTCAACCCCTCTCAGGGACAGAATGGCCATGTACCAGGCAGCTGTGACTAAGCACGATTTCCCTTCCTCCCCCACCGTGAGTCCGTCCCCCCCCCGCTTTCACAATAATACACTCCCTCAATTACTGTCACTTCTTATGATTTCATCAGATGCAATTTGTCTGCTGACCTAACACTCTTTGTTTCTTGTTTAAAGGCGTAGATCGCCGAAAACATGAAACGGATGTCATTTACTCGCTCTGATTTAGTTCCAAACCAATATGACTTTATTGCTTAATTCAGTGGAAAACAATTTTTCATGTGATTTAAAATGAACAGGGACTGAAGCTTTTCACACACAAGTCATACAGACTACTTTTAAGTCGCTAAAAATCCCTAGTTCTTCTTTTGGAGCTGTGTTTTACAAAATTCAACTGAAAAGAATGAATCAATTTATGTTCACAAATCCCATCTGAATAATTTATTCATGAATTGGGGTGATCTGGTTTGAGAGAGGGAGGGGAGGATTTCATGATCATCAGAGAATAATGACGTAAATTTCAGCCCATTTACATCTTAAAATATAGAAATGGTAAAGTCATATGACATAGTAATAATTTTGCATACTTTTCTGAAGTTTGATGTCTTTAGTCCTCATTAATAAAAAAAAATGTCATGTTGCATGAGGAACATGTCATGGGCTTGGAATGACTTCAGGATGCGTACATTTTGACCGAATGTTCATTCTTGGGTGAACTGTTCCTTTAAGGGAGCACATGCTCACTGATAACCTTTACCCTTTTTGTGTTCCTGGTAGAGTGAACCAGCAGATAATGAAGTCCGGAGTCACAGTGGGAAGCAGAAGGAAAATGTGCCGCCAGTGTGTGCTGATGTGGTAAGAACTGTTAGGCTCTTTGTAATGTGAAATCCTGTGAATGAATTCACAATACATTTACATTTTTAAAGTGCCCCTACTATGCTTTTTCAAATATTACCTTTCATGCAGTGTGTAATAGCTGTTTGCGAATGTAAAAGGTCTGCAAAGTTTTAAAGATCAAAGTGCACGACAAATAAAGAATCGATTCTGAGCTGCCGAAACGAGTCGTCAGCAATTCCAGTCTCACTTTCGTAACATATACGCAAGTTTGTAACAAAGCCTATGGTCTTCATTGGCTGCCCGTGAGCAATGTCTACTTAGCTACAACTACAGTGTTTGAGGGCAGGTCAAAGTACTGAGAAGCAACATGTCGTGTCGTCGAAATGTGGAGAAGATGGTAATTTCTGTGCTGCGAATCCACTTTGCTTGCACTTCCAAAAGATGAGAACTCGCGCTGGAATTGATGTGGTAAAACGACGCCATTGTTACTGTTCGTGTCACCGTGTATCATGTGCTGAGGAAGATCCGGAGCTGAAATTCAGATATGCTAATTGGAGTTTTGTTTCTGACACGTGCTGTAAGCGGTAGACCAATCACAACAGACTGGGTCATCTGGCCAATCAGAGAAGAGCAGGGGCTTGGAAGGAGGAGTTTATAGAGACCGAATCCTTTATCGAACCATTTCAGACACTGTGAGAAAAGAGGTGATATGCAATATACATTTTGAAAAAAAAATTGTACAAAAAATTTGACCTTGGATACATATAAACCTATTGTAGGAAAGCTCCAAAACAAAATTAGGAATGTTTAAAATAGCATAAAGGGGCACTTCAATACATGATTATTGTATTGTGCACAAAAAATGTTTGTTTCTATAATCTTTCATTGAATAACTTGCGCAACATCAACTTTTTTTTATTTCTGGCTGACTTCCTGAATGCCTTTTTATTTTTCAACCTGAATCTTACACTCACTTTTCATGATTCAATCAATTTTCAATTATCCGGTTTCACTCTGGTATGTCACATTATGGAAGCAAAAAGGGTTTAAATGCAGTTTCATGTTAAAGGGATAGTTAATTTTGAAATAAATTTTTGATATGTTTTAGCTTACCTCAAGGGCATCCAAGATGTAGGTGTCTTTGTTTCCACAGAAGTTTCAATTTTGATATTTTTATTTCAAACAGTTCTTGTCTGTCAGTCATATAATGCAGGTATATGGTCACCACCTCAAAGAGCATGCACAGAGAAGTCCAAATTAAACATGATTTAATGACTCGTAAATGTAAGTACACATTGATGGCCTAAGACACGAAACGAGCGGTTTGTGTGAGAAAACGAACTGTATTTATATCGTTTTTACCTCTTGTAACGCACAAACCGAAGCGCCGGCGCCCTCAGATCACTTGGACGTGGCTGTGGTTACAAGAGGTAAAAACGATATAAATACGGTTCGTTTTCTCACACAAACCGCTCGTTTCGTGTCTTAGGCCATCAATGTGTACTTACATTTACGAGTCATTAAATCATGTTTAATTTGGACTTCTCTGTGCATGCTCTTTGAGGTGGTGACCATAGACCTGCATTATATGACTGGCAGACAAGAACGGTTTGACCTAAAAATATCAAAATTGAAAATATTGCGGAAACAAAGACACCTACATCTTGGATGCCCTTGAGGTAAGCTAAAACATACCAAAAATTAATTTCAAAGTGAACTATCCCTTTAACACAATAGCAGATTGTATACAGTTTTGTTTTTTTGTAGTACAAAACTGGCACTTGCCTTACTACTCTTTGTATCTGCAGGGCTCTGAATCCAACTCTATGAAAAGTCCCACTACAGACAAGAATGGTGAGTTTCTGCTTGTGGTCTCTTGCATCCATAATGACATACTGTACAAACCATGAGTGAAAAATTGTACTTTTCACCCAAAAATGAAAATTCTGTCATTAATTAACCTCAAGTCGTTCCAAACATGCAAGACTTTTGTTCCTCTTCGGAACACAAATGAAGATATTTTTGATAATGAATGACAGTCTTTGGAACAACATGAGGACGAGTAATTAATGACAGAATTTTCATTTTGGGGTGAAGTATCCTTTTAAGTATTTTGACACAGTTTGTACAGTTAGTTACTTTGAATCCCAGTGCCCTCTAGAGGTTATTTTGCTGCACTGTCAAAAAACACTGTTCTCTTCATTTACAGGCTCTGTTATAAGTCCGGAACAAAACCAGTCTAAAGCTGCTAGGGTGAGAATTCAGTTATTAAATACATATCTATTTCTTTATTTACCATATAGTTTTATCTCTGTTTTTGCATTTTGTGAAGTGTCATTGAAAAATACAGACATGGCTTGTCACTTTGGCTAAAACATTTTTGTGCACTTGTAGAAGTTCCGTTTGCCTGTCCGTGAAACCTGTGTGACGTGCCTTAAGACCGTGTACCCGCTAGAGAAACTTGTAGCGAATCAGCAGATTTTCCACAACACCTGCTTCCGCTGTGCCTACTGCAACACTAAACTCAGGTGAGGGCAAGGGACATGGCTCTGATCCACACTTGATGTGGACTAGCAGTAATGGTGCGTTCACGTGCTATGGTAATTATGGTAAATACCAAAAGCCGACATGGAAAATGCACATGAACACCCCCTCATGTGCAATTTTCCACTGGGCAACTCGTAGAATATTTTGATGCACGAGTTGCCGAGATGAGATTACCTTTGACCTTTTCAAAATGGCGGAGAGCAACGCAAGAGTTGTGAATGGTAAAAATATGTACTATTCATGATCTAGAAAATATACAGCATATATTATTTACGTTTGAGTTTTGATAAATCATTTTCTTGCTGTAGCAGATGACTTAAGCAATCTAAAATAGTTTTAGCTAAATAACAGGTCTGGATCTCCATCTTTTTACCACATTACGACAACAAAAGCACTTGAACGCAACACACTGGTAAATACCAGTTCACAAGTGGAAAATATCATATTTTCCATAGCACGTGAACGCACCATAATACACAAGACTGTTGGGTCTCTCATTTGTAAATTTTTGGGGTGCTCATGAGGTTTTTTTTTTCTACTGCAGAAATTAAGTTGGTTTCAACAATCATTTATTTTAGTCTTCTTTTTTTAATGGTATCAAATTTTCCTGAGCATAAGTAACATTTTAGTTGATCAAATTTTCAAGCATTTTATATAATAAACATGTAAAAACTGTCGTTATAAAAACACTATCTTATTAAATAACATTGAGTACACAACTTAAAGCATGGAGATTTCATAGTAGGCCCTATGGCATTTAAATAAAATAAAAAATTCACTTGTCCATTGACATTTTGTGCAGACATAGTTGTTTGTTGAATATCTGATTATTGCCATTTATATATATATATATATATATATATATATATATATATATATATATATATATAATGTTTGGTTAATTAGGCTAATTAACATGCTAGCCTATGCTATATAATATTATATATAGTAATAGTATAATAAACTAAATAATTTGAAGCAATAATAGGCTGGTTACGTCCATAACATCAGAATAATTGTCATGTATGTATTTTAGTGGTTAATACGTTGACATAAAGTTACAGTTATACATGACATACAATTATTTACGAAATTGAGTCGACGTAACGGTAGCTGCTATTCTGCAACCAAACTCACAACCGTCAATTTTCCGCAAACCCCTGCTGTGTGAACAGAACCGTACTGGACACACCTTAGTTGTCTGTGACTACGAGAGAGCCACTTCTAGTAGGCTTATGTGTGTTCAGTAACTTACAGAGATGGAAATATGAGCTGTTTATCATTTGAAGACTTCATATTCAGTCATTGTCGTCGTCCACAGATTAACCAGCTAGCAAAAGCGCTTCACCTTCCCGCGAGCTGCTCCCGCCAGTTTTGGAGTCTGCGCGCGACTCAAACCAAGCTCGTTCTCCAGTCAGGAATAAAGATAAAACACAAACTGCTGTCGGTTAATTTAATTTATAACGAGGGACTCGTGATGAGTCAGATGGGATAAGACTATCTTATAGTCGCTGCTCACAGCCCTTACTACTCACGGTTAGCGCGAGAATAAAAAGGGTTGACGTCGGTTACTCGTGTTGAGGCTCGAATACAGTATTTAACCTGTTGTAATGAATCAAAATGACAGTTTGAGTCACGCCTGTTACTAAAATATGATTTTAAACACAAACTTTTTGAATTTAGCCATTCTGTTTATATTTTTTCTACATAAATAAATGAATGTTCAAAATGTTAGTGAATATCTTGCATTATTTTTTTTTCTTGTCATATTTTCGTCAACAGAATATGCTGCTGAGATTATGTATTTTTGTAGGCTAACCCAGTAAATTAGAATGACCCATGGTTCCCCAAACCCTATATGATTTTGTATTGGCTTTTGGATTATTTGGAGAAAATAAGCTCTGTGACCAACAAAATGATTCTTTCCAGTTAACATTTGAAAAAAATCTGTCAAAAAACAATCGGTAGAAGTAAAAAGCTAAATGTAGGCTATAAATGAGCTTTAGAGTTTTGACAATTCCAGGTATGTAAAAAAAAAAGTTAGCAAGAGTGTGATTATAGACACAATGCAGACTGTAAAAGCAGACTAGTCAGTAGATGAGTACATGTTCAGTGTGATGATGTTTAATGTCCCTCTTTAGACTCATTTAGCCACTTGTTGGCTGGCAGCCACCTTCTTCAAGACAAGAGCTTAAAAAAATCACTAGGGTGCATTGCTTTTGTATATTATGTTGTGGAATAAAAATGAAAATATCTTAAACTTGTTTTATACCACCAATCATATTTCAGGCATTTACCAAATACCCATTTAAAATCCCATTGAGGTCACGACGACGGAACCAGAAGTGCTAAAATGCTAACTCATTTCCTGGTTTTGGCCTACAAAAATACGTCATCCCTGCAGCACTCAGATGGTTTAATTTAGGACATTTATGACAGGATTGATGCTCAGTTTGGTTTGTTTCTAATCTCTCACTCTGTTTTGCCGCCCTCTTTTGGACAGTTTGGTGAACTATGCTTCTTTGCACAACAACGTTTACTGCAAGCCACACTACTGCCAGCTGTTTAAAGCCAAGGGCAACTACGACGAGGGTTTCGGCCACCGACCCCATAAGGAGCTTTGGGAGACTCGAGGAGAAGAAGCCGAGGAGCAAGTGAAGCTCTCACCTCAAGAAACAACCCCCAGCCCAACAGTAGAGGAGTCTCCACTGGTAAAGGTTAATGTGCTTGCGGCCAGTTTAGAGACCCGAAAACAGGTCGTCTCTGAGAGGGTGGAGAAGCCGCTGGAGACGGGACGCCTCAAGATATCCTGGCCTCCACAGTCAGAAGGGGACGAGAGTGCGACCCATGTGTGTGGAGCCACTGACGGCAGTGGCATCAAACCCATCCGCCCGAAATGGCCTCCAGAGGGCGACTCTGTATCAAGCAACTCGGACCAATCTGATTTTCCAAAGCTTCGCAGGAGCGTCTCTCTCAAGGAGAGAAGCAAACCGTTTTCCATCTTCAGCGCTCCACCGGTCACTCAACCCAACAAGACATGCCAAAGATCTCCTTCAAATGAGAAGCCAGACTCTTCTGAGGAAATGTCACCCGTCTCTTCCACCACAGACACGCTGATCTCTTCCGAGGACATGACTGAACACAACCAATCAGAAGAGGAGGAGGAGGAGGAACAGGGTGAGACCAATGAGGAAAGGATGGAACAGGAGGAGAAAGTGGATGTCCAGGAAGAGGAACTTTCCTCTCTGAAGTGCAGCTCACCGGAGATCAGTCCTGCATCGTCGCCCGAGAGCGAGTCCGGGCTGGATCCCGAGGAGAACAAGGCCTCACAAGATGTGGGCTTCTGGGATGGAGAAGAAGCTGAGGAAGATCGAGCTGATGTGTCCGTGGAGGACCTCATTAAGAGGAACCGGCATTACGACGACGAGGACGAGGATGAGGATGATGTGGTCTGACTGAGCGATAGATTAGATGTCCGTGGACTTTCATTTCCCAGAAGCACCAGCGTATTTTCATGTAGTCTGCGTCGTGGGTCTCCGTCTGTCTTTTGTGCAATTTTTCATGTCTTCAGCTTTTACATGTGCCTATAAATGTAAATGAACTAAAAACCAAGTAGTTGTCAGGTTATTCAGAAGGCTTCTCTAGTCTAGATGATACACTACTCTTAGTCATTTCAAGCCTAGGTTTAGGATATTTTAATTTGTTTGGTACTTTTTCTATATTTTATATTTTAATAGACTAGAATATTTTATTCTTATGCTGTTCAAATTCAAAATATTAGCATTTCGAAACAATTGATTTTTTTTTTTTATATTGCTTTAAGAGTTTAAATTAGATTGATAGGGCAATCTTAGTACGTTTAGTTCAAGCACCCATCTTTTAGTTTTTTCATCACTACTGTAATGCACTTGGATGTACTTTATATGTTAAACATGCCCTGGCTGTACCACATTTGATTTCAATTGGCAACCTTTGAATGTTTTATTGCAAAATTGTATTTAACTATTTTACATGTCACTTTTTTTATCATGGGACCAAATATCCTGAAATACATTTGTTTTCAAATAAATATACTATTACAAAATCTTGAGCAAGTGAGCTTTGTTTTGTTACAATGACCCCACAATTAATTCAATATTCCCCCCCCCCCCCAGATAGCTTAATGAAACAAAAGGCAAGTTTGTTTCAAACTTTTAAAAGTTTTTATAAAGATTTTTTTGGAAGCAATTGTAAGAAGTGAGAACTACAGTGACAAATCAGTCTCATAAAATTGCATATATACATACAATTGCATGATAGTAAAATTAATGGGTTGAAGTTTTTTTGAATTGTGCTTACATGAAAATGTATAAAAAGGAATTTCAAGGCAACCCGAATACAGTTTGTGTGGAAATAACTATTTCTTTATTATATACACATTAGCAAAAGAGTGCATGCTACAAGTAAAACAACATATCAACATCTTCAACGCAAATCTCCATTTAGTTAAGACTGTGTGAACCCAAAACGATCATCACCCATTTATGCGCCAAGCAACCACATTCCAGTCGAAGAATTCAGACGATCTTGGAGAGGACAACCACTTGGCTTTTTGAATAAGCTTAACTGATAGAGGTATTTGGTTTTGGCTTCCCTGTGCTGTCAATTTATGTCTGGAACACAAGCAATTCTTTATGTTAAATGATCTGATCTGGAATATTCATTTCACCACTAAATGGAAGAGCTTTAGTTGACTATGATTTCCATTCCTCTCTCTAAAAAGCTTCATTTTTTCATTCACAACCTCATGATTCTCACAGAATATATTTCAAAACAAATGTTGCAGAATAGTCTATGATAAACATGCAGTATTATAAACCACCGATAATCTTTCAAATGAATAAACCAAAGCCCATTATTCAATGATGCCCTTTGAAAAGCCATGTGTCAAATATGATTATGGCTATATTCATTTCCATTTCTGCAGTATATTGTATACTGTGCATAGCATTAACATTTATGCATAGAACACCCCTAAAAATGGCAAAACGTGCACACTGCACTGGGTGCTGTGTCCCATAATGCAATGCACTCATCTCGACCTTCCATTTCCAGCAGCCAATGAACACAAATCACTTAATTATAAACAGTATGCAAACATAACCAATGTCCTGACCTTAGGCTAGTAAACTGTAGGATGCAACTTAAGAAACCGAGGCACCTAAATTTAATAGGGCAATATAGAGAAAAGTTTAACATCACTGAAAGATTCCATTTATATAAAACAAGAACCATACTGAAAGGGACAAAATTAGATATTAAATTTGGCAACGTGTGTAATATGAAAGCTTTTTGTTCCATAAGTGATATGTGACAGAACAGAAGAGGAAGCGCATTATTGCAACAGCGAGGTGTGCAAAACGCAAAAGGTCTGGAGGGCAGAATCATGGCCGCTCGCCCATCCGACTACCAGCTTAAGTTGAGGCATCTCTAAAGTGCTTGTGGCATTTGTGAACCCATCGAGTTCACATTACAGTGGACAATGCCTGAATAAACAGCTCCATTGTTTTAAACCCGACTCCAAAGTGGCGTCTGCCCTGAAATATCTGATAAAACGTCCACAAACTAAAGTGAAATTCTACATTTACAGAATGAAGGCTAAATGAACTTCAATTGACTTGTAAAGATGCATTCATAGACGAATAAACAAAAAGTAGCCGATGTGTTGTCTTCCGCTCTCTGGTCCGGAGCTTCTGTATGGCGTTTCCTGATGACAGTGTGAGATATACAACCGGAGACAATACAACTTGCCTCCGCTGACATCGCAATCAATTCATGCTATTAACTGGCAAGCACATTCCCCTCAACGGCTCGTTTTCAGACAGAAATTACAGCAAAAAATGGCACTTGATTAAACATGACATTCAGACAAATCACAATAAGAAAAACAGGACCATAATATGCTTTCATCACCTTCACAAGTCATTTGTGAGAGGGAGTGCTTGTGGAAAACTGTGAAGTAATTTGAACAATATTATAATAATTCAGAATTATTAACCCTCTCATGCCTAATCTTTAACTTTCTCTAGGGTGTCCGTCTGTTTATTAATATTCATGATTGATTTAGCTAAATAAATGTTGCGTGTAGCAGCCAATACATACATTTCCATATGTACAAGTACATTAAAAATATAGAATTCCATATTTTCTATGCATTTTTAATAAACTAAATGTATCTTCGTACAATATTATTTCGGTCACGTTTTAAACAGTTCTTTTGAGGCCTAATATTAAACATTTGTGGCTTCACGGTAAACCGTTTTTAAGCCGAGGTGAACGCTGTAGATATGCTCTACCGTGAGACATGCACTGGAGTGAACGTGTTAGACAGGTTAAACTTTTTTGAAGTGCCTTCAGAGATAAAGAAATAACAGAAATCTCAGCATAAGTTTCTAGCTCTTTTGTGGGCCAGTCTGGCTGATGTGCGAAGTTCCTGGTTTATTATCCGCTGAGTGGATGGAGGTCCACCTTCACCTTTTCCCCGCTGCTGAGCATCCCGATAGTGGGGTAGAACCCTCCGACCGGGACCACCACCTCCCTCCTGCCGATTATCTTGCCGTTCCGGGTGAAGAACACCTAGATGAGCACAGAGGGGCGACAGTGAGTCAGCATTTCCACAGCTGGAGAGGGAAGAGAGTGAGTCAGCATTTCCATAGGTACAGGGCTGAGACAGGGTATAGTACACACCAGTGCCAAAACTCTGGCTACTTCAGGACACGAGATGAGCACAAGAAAACACTTTGCAAACATCTGTTTTTTGAGCACTGAGGGTATACTGTGTTCTTTTATTTCCAATAAGCCTTTCCAGGCGAGTGACTGAAATATCTGCGAGCTAATTCGTCTCGACCACATCTGGGATATCCTGTTCCCTCAAAAGACAGCTCTCATGAGAGAGTTTGACAGCGAGGTCATCCATAATCTTGCACAAGTATGGAAGCAAGCCTCACCCAGTGGGGTGATAACTGACCAGATGACGGCCGGAAACTGGGAGATTACAGAGTCGTGCAGTGCAATATTTGGCACCTAGCGGTCGTGATCGTGTAACGTCCCACTGGGAGACCTTGGCCCTGTTTACACCTGGTATCAAGATGCGTTTTGGTCAATCGGATCACAAGTAGACGAGGGAGACACATTCCCGTCTCTTTTGTCCACTTTCAACCACATCTGTCTTGATTTCTTCCCATAATGTTTAGCGTTAGGTCAGTAGGCAGAGAGTAGACAGTCTTTTGTGCCACATTCGACCGGATTATACTTTCGTAGTGTAAACGCTCATGTGGTCGAATGTGTTTTTGACTACTTCTGGAAGAGGTCAAAAGCGGACGAGATTAAACCGGTTTAGACCCCGTTTACCTGTATTTAGCGGCATCCACTTGTGATCGGATTGATGAAAATGCTTCTTAATACCAGGTGTAAACAGGGCCTTTGATGCATAAATCTTCTTTGAGGTTAAAACACTTATGATAATTGAGCACCAAATCAAAATATAAGAATTTCTGAAGGGTCATGTGACTGCTGAAAATTCAGCTTTGCCATCAAAGGAATACATTTTTAAATATATATATATATATATAAAAACTCACCATAACTTTCCGGCCCTCATGTTCTTGTTCTGGGTCATCTCCCTCTTCCTCATCTTCATCATTCAAATACAGTAAGTTTTCGACACGCCCCTGCTTTGGTCGTACATCAGCAGCATCCCAGTCGTCAATTTCATCTAACAGAGAAACACGTTGAGCTGGATGGACATCTAAAAAACTTGGAGTACAGTCTTGACAAGCATGCTAAATGGATCAAAGTATGTATTGGCAGTGACTCCCGGACGAAGGCTTGTATGCCGAAACGCGTCGGAATGTTTTAATAGTGTTGATTATGACCAAGCCATAGTATTAAAGGCTTTTTAACTTTTCTAAAGAGAGTGCCTTCGATGTTCCTGATTATTTCTACATGTTTTTTTTTTTCTATCCAAAGAGCACCTCAAACTTATTAATTTGAGTCCAGGAAGCGCTTCTCTATAGACATTTGTTCAGATATGTATTGGCAGTAGTATGAGCAAAATAGGAAATTTCTTCTCATCTCCTTTATTGAGCACCACATGTGTATTCTCACCTTCATAGTCCAGCACGTAGTCGCGAGGAAACATAATTCCACAGCCCATGATGTCCCCTTCGAAACAGCGAGGGCCAAACTGGTCACCTACTCCACTTCCATGGAAGATCTTCCCATCATCTATGGAGCAGATAAGATGGCTCCTTTCATTAGTAAACCATGACCTTGCATCAAATCTGATATGCAAATCAACTCGAAATATCCTGGGCAATTTGCAGGAAAAAAAAACTAAGTAAAGTACAGGAACTGGACTATATATTTATATTATATTGTGCATATTTACACTACTGTTCAAAAGTTTGTGTTCAGTAAGGTTTATTTTTTTAAGTCATACTAGACATTTATAATGTTACACAAGATTTCTATTAATCACATGAATGCTGTTCTTTTGAACTTCTTATTTTTCAATGAATCCTGAGAAAAATATATCACCGTTTCCACAAACGTACTACACAGCAAACTGTTTTCAACAATAAGAAATGCTTCTTGAGCAGCAAATCAGCATATCAGAATGATTTCTGAAGGATCATGTGACACTGAAGACTGAAGTAATGATCCTGAAAATTCAGCTTTGATCACAGGAATAAATTAAATTTGAAAATATATCCAAATAGAAAGCAGTTAAATTATATTGTAATAATATTTCACAATAATACAGTTGTTACTGTTTTGCTGAGCATAAGAGACTTCTTTCAAGAACGAAAAAATCATACCGACCTCAAACTTTTGAACGGTAGTATGAATAGTATTATGCATGTGTATATACATAGAAATATACGTATATTTTCAGACCATTAAATCAACAAATCCATGGTAAACACAGATGTCATGAGTCATAGGTCCAAAGGTGCCCTATTAATTCGAGTCCCACCTCCACCAGAAACATCATCTGCTGGTGTCGCTGTTGGACAGTATCACTGTAGGTAAAATGAGTGCTTGAGCTCATATTTCATAATATTTGTTTCTGTATCTCATCTGATTATCTTTTTAAAGCCTCTTTTTTGGGTGATTCATTTACAGTCAATGACGGGGGTAACAACTCATCATCTGAATGAATTTTAGGACATAAAGAAGCAATGCTAAAGTTAGTGCTTGGCATCAGAGCACTGTGAAGACCTGAAGTGAATCGGAATAAGCAAGCACTAATGCTGCATTCCTCACACATTTGCTCTTAATGATCCAGAGAAGACTTATACTCTTCATCCAGAAACTGACAGGATGAAAGGAGATGTGCTTTCATGCCTCTGTACGTTTCTTTCTCCTAAGTCAAAGTTCTCCTTATATAAGAAGATAACAAAACAAAGAGACAACAACAATCAAGAGCAAGTGAAAGAAAAACACGGAAAGGTAGCCTGCAGACAAAAAAAAAAAAACCTTATTGCAGTGTGTGGCTGGTAAATATTTGTAGAGTTGTCATGGGACCCGTTCCCAGCTCAGGATACTGTTTAAACAATCCCTATCTGAACACGCGGAGGGAGATGAAAACACTGCATCATTATGATTCCCATGTGGGCCTCGGTCCCAACACCACACTCCGCAAACACCACGACCACTGTGGGAGAAGAAGGCGACTAAAAATAGACGGGGGCTTGGACACGCGCTCTCACCAAGCTTGAGCTTTCAGGCTCTCTGGCAGGAAACGCTACACCGGAGTGCAGAGAGGGCTTTCCTCGAATGTCAGAGCTGTTCTCTGGAAAAGACCGGGAATGTAGACTTGCTTCCGCAAACAAGAAGGCAGTTTTATGAGCCTGGGGGCTCAGAAAGGGAAAACTATTTGCTCGTTCGTGTCGTCAACATTTTAAAGTGACCTAAACAGGGAAAGGTCACGTACCCTATTGCATTACCAAATGTGAACTGAACAAACCTGAAAACTGTGATTTGGGGTAAAGCGACTCTGCCAACTATTTTGACACACTTGGCATGGTCAACAGATGATTTAAAACAGGAATGGGGATCGTATACGGCATAAAACCGTTGTTCCAAACTCAAAAACCAAAATGTATCACACGACTTCCGAATTCATTTCTCAATCCAAATGAGATTATAATAGCCCCGTTTGTCCTTGGCTATGATGCGCGTGAGGACACTGACCCTCAGAGCGACATATCAGTGGCCGTAACACGTCTCTACGTGATGACTAACTGGATTATGAGTCATAGATGTGGGCCTCTTATAGATCAGGGCAGGACAATGAGTCATGCCCCCCTAATCTGACCCGCTTCTGTGGCAGTGCCAGACCTCCATCAGCGGGTGCCGCAATGAGGCGCAGAAAAGATATGCCCCATAAATGCAGCTCCGCAAAAGCTGACAAGAGGGCTTGACAAACTACATCGCCCTGATGCGAGGGATGATATGGCTGAATTCTTCACATAAGCAAGAAGAACACAGGGCCAGGGTGAATTCACTAGGAAATAAACAAACTTCCATCACTATGGATGCACCGTTATGAAAATTTGGATCGATAGAATAATTACTGTCACGTTATGATCAACCAATAAATAGAGGGTACTAATGCTAAGAAAAATCCACATACATTTATAAATACACATACATATATACGTATATGTGCTTTAAAAAAAGAAAAGAAAATGTATATAGTTAATTTGATATAAAATATAATTTGTATTTCAAGTTTTATATATTTTTATCTATTTATCTATCTATCTATCTAACACAAACATATATGAATTTATATTTTAAGATCTATAAATTAATATATATATAAAATTAATATTTTTTTTAAAAATTCAACAATTTGTCAGAAAAGCACACATAGCTATAAATGTATACATATGTATATATATACATATTTACAAATATATATATAATATATATATATATATATATATACAAATTTAAAATGCATTTTAAACTAAATTAGGCATCATGACATTACAATATGCTATGAAACTGGATATATATTTAGAGATTTGCTAAATATTATATTTAACAATGTTTTTATATTATTAGAGTTATTAGAGATTAAGTAAGCATTAGATGATGGCAAATACGTAGGAATAATGCTCTAAGCATAATTGCGAATTCGGAAATGGCACAGAAAATGAGTAACGCACTCTACGGAGCCCCTAAAGGGACACGGTTAAGCTTGCTATGGTAGTCAGTTACATTACAGTACATAAGATTTCACTTATTACGTGAAGATAGTAATGAGAGATGACTGACAGGACGCTGTCAGAGGATTTAATGTGCAGCAGATCCTGAGCGTCATTGAGAAATATCTTATCTTGAAAGTGAAAGTAAAAAAGCAAGCGCGCATTCAAAAGCAATTTCAATATCCTGCTTATTGATAGTGGGTCCCTGATACCCGCAAATTATGTACAATATACCCAACTATATAATTGCGAGAAAACGCAAAAGCATTGAAATATAATTTTTCTCCTCATCTCATATTTTTTTCCATCACCCTGTTTCTTTAGGGCAGGGATAGGCAACGTCGATCCTGGAGGGCCACTGTCCTGCAGAGTTTAGCTCCTGTTGCCACATTACATTATATATATATATAAAAAAATCTGAACCGTCACTGTTTATCTGGCTTACAGGCAAAATCCCTCACCCTTAAACAATAGGCTCTGAGTCACCACAGAAGCACAGTTTCATTCAGGATGATACTCAGTGACTAATCTGTTATGTGGAGTGGCATGAAGGCATGAAGGGGTTGAGTATAAAGATTGCCATCTTTACATTGAGAGGCAATCTTATCCGATATCGACTTCCTTTGAGCTGTTTTGAAAGATGGGACCTGTGGAGTGAGATAGGCCTATTTATCCTCATGCCATTTTCAAGAGGATTTTCTTCTAATCAACACACTGATCTCATCTCTACACTCCTCTTATCATCATCCAGGACCTCCACACACTGTAGAGATGGTGCCCATAGATGTGTAGGCTTGAAAAGAGAAGAGGAGCCAAATAATAAAGCTTAAAAAAAAGTCACCACCTGCAGGAATTCTGGGTAATCCATGCATAACCTGTGATAGGAATACAAGCAGAGATTACAAAACGGAGAAAACAAAACAAAGTTTATGTAAACAGGATCTGGATGTGTGGACTTGTGTGTATAAAAATAACTTTATGTGGGACTTCTTAGTACTTCTACATTACATGAAAGTTTAATTTTAGATTTCGGACTAAAAGAGATATCTGTTTTATAAATATGTCCTTAGTCTGAATTAAATCATGGCAATGGAAATTTTTGCGATGTCGGGCAAACAGATCTACAGAATGTGATTATAACCTGGCAAATGAGCAATAATAGCAACATTCAGATGGTTTGAATACATTATTTAATGTGCAAGCACCTGGAAAAAAAATTGCTCTACTAATTGTACTTTTATTCATTAGTGAACAAACGTGTTTTAAGATCAGGGTGTCCAGCATGTGTTCATGTTCATTAGGCTACAATTGGCCTGGGCTTATGATGCCTTCAAGTCGTGACAGATCGCTTTTATAACGCCACAACTTTGGAGAGTGGAACTTTCTTTAACCCTCATGTGGTGTTCGGGTCAATTTGACCCGAAGAAGATTTTCTTATTCCCGAAAATACTAGTTAATGTTATCGCTTTGGACTGAAACTTAGTGACTTTGTTCCCAAACGGTATAACTAAATCTCAGTGTTTTTTTGAAAATTTTCTTATTTTTTTGTGGGAGTATTGTTACCTTGTTACACTTGTGGTGTTCCCGGTCAAAAATGACCGGCCTATAAAAAATAGCTTATAAGTCACTCATTATACCATATTTTCACCCAATCTTGGATTCAATCTTTTTGTCAACTTGTTCTCTTTCAATTAGGACTGGTTTTATATTTCTGTTTGAATCTGATTAATCGTGGGCCTCATTTGTCTGAGAGTAGGCATCTCATTTTTTGAGTAAAAAACAAATAATTTATGAGTAAATTTGGAAATATGAAAAAAAATATGAAAAAAATGGCTACGGTTGATCACACTAGTCTACTCTAATGTTTCACCAGGAATTTTGTTTTGAAACTTTTGTTTTGTAAAAAAATATGGCACATAGTCACACTTGTGGTGTTCCCGGTCAAAAATGACCGGCCTATAAAAAATAGCTTATAAATCATTCATTATACCATATTTTCACCCAATCTTGGATTCAATCTTTTTGTCAACTTGTTCTCTTTCAATTAGGACTGGTTTTATATTTCTGTTTGGCCTGTGTGTGTGTGTGTGTGTGTGTGTGTGTGTGTGTGTGTGTGTGTGTGTGTGTGTGTGTGTGTGTGTGTGTGTGTGTGTGTGTGTGTGTGTGTGGTAATGTCAGATGGATAAATGTATATTAGATGCAGGTTAGGGTAGGATCAAATTTCTCTCTGTGGAAAAGAATGTGTGTAATATTTAAAAAAGTTTGTGTGTTTTAACATGTGTGTGTCTGGGTAGCGTGTGTAAATGTATCGATACATGCACAGGTCCAAGGGCTCGATGTTTGCAAGCACACATGCTCATATGTGTACATGAAAATAATGAACATGCTCCTGAAAACTAAATTGTTCTGTTAGTTTCAGTCTTTCCCATTCACTTTCAATGGTCGGCCATTGTGACCATTTTTGACCATGCCTACTCTCAGATGAATGAGGCCCACGATTAATCAGATGCAAACAGAAATATAAAACCAGTCCTAATTGAAAGAGAACAAGTTGCCAAAAAGATTGAATCCAAGATTGGGTGAAAATATGGTATAATGAGTGACTTATAAGCGATTTTTTATAGGCCGGTCATTTTTGACCGGGAACATCACAAGTGTGACTATGTGCCATATTTTTTACAAAACAAAAGTTTCAAAACAAAATTCCTGGTGAAAAATTAGAGTAGACAAGTGTGATCAACAGCAGCCATTTTTTTCATTTTTTTTTTTCATATTTCCAAATTTACTCATAAATTATTTGTTTTTTACTCAAAAAATGAGATGCCTACTCTCAGACAAATGAGGCCCACGATTAATCAGATGCAAACAGAAATATAAAACCAGTCCTAATTGAAAGAGAACAAGTTGACAAAAAGATTGAATCAAAGATTGGGTGAAAATATGGTATAATGAGTGACTTATAAGCTATTTTTTTATAGGCCGGTCATTTTTGACCGGGAACACCACAAGTGTGACTATGTGCCATATTTTTTACAAAACAAAAGTTTCAAAACAAAATTCCTGGTGAAAATGTTAAGTTGACTAGTGTGATCAACAATACCAATTTTCTCCAGATTTTATTTAATATTTCCAAAATTATTCAAAATTTTTACAAAAATTACTCAAAAAATGAAATGCCTACTCTCAAATAAATGAGGCCTATGATTATTCAGATGCAAATCAAAATATAAAACCAGTCCTAATTGAAAGAGAACATGTTGACAAAAAGATTGAATCCAAGATTGGGTGAAAATATGGTATAATGAGTGATTTATAAGTTTTTTTTTATGGCCCGGTCATTTTTGACCGGGAACACCACAGGTGTTATAGGGTTTTGAACACCACATGAGGGTTAAAGGGGCACTTCACTGGGAAAATGGGTTTTCAATTAAACTTGGCTGCCTAAGCAGTAGAAAAAGCAGATTTTTAAAAAAAAAATCTGTGCTACCTGACTAGTGCTACCTTGCCAAATAGGAAGGAAAACTTCCTACACCCATAATGCACTGGTTATGTTGCCGTCCAAGGCCACTCCCACCAGTCTGCTATGGATACGCTTACCATAGCCAAAGATCGCCTTGCTTTAGTAGGAAATACTTTGTAGTAAACTTTTTCATAATCGTGTCAACCTGTATTGTTCACAGGTGCAAGAATTCAAAGAGTAAACGTTTAGTGAAGGATCCAGAACGTTACAGACAGTGACAAAAGGCTACAAAGTGTAGTAAATAAAATTATTATCGTAAATAACACCGATATGAAAAACCTGTGTTTGTAGTCAACATTTCAATCTGGATGAACAGTGCTTTAGGCCAAACGGCGGAGAAAAAAAATGAAAGAAACTGCCATTTCCCCATGTTCCCTAACAGATGCAGCATCTGTACTGATTGTAAATTTGAATTAAATTAATAAAGATAGTGAAGTTTCATGTAAAAATGAAATATGCTTGAAGCATATTTCAAGCCTACAAGATGCTGTGATAAATTTACAGCACCTTCATACATTAGTAAAACATAAATTAAAAACACTGCTTATGCACATTCTTTATTCATCATTTTGTAGAGTTAAAAATCTTGCTGAATTTTTTGTAGAAAAGGTAGTACATTGCCATCTTCCTCCAACCAAGTGACTTGAACTCATCTGATGTCGTAATTACGACTTCCTAACTCACAAATCCGAAATTTCAAGGTCTTGAACACACCAATAGTGCGTATGTTACGAAAAAGGTGAAGCGCTATGTGCATTCAATCCTTCAAACTATTTGGCCGTGTGTCCACCAAAGCGTTTTTAGCCAGCTGAGAACGCTAGACGCTCTGCTGAAGACGCCTAGCTTTGGGCGCTTGAGAGCGTTCTGGCAGCGCAGCGTTTTTTCCGTTGAGACGTTTCGTTGCTATGATACAGAATATCCGCAGCACAGTTTAGCCTACTTGTAACAGATTTTACAGATAATTTGTTTCATACTAAAAATGTATTTTTCATCCATTTTGTTCGGTTTGCTCTGCTGGTTGATGTCGTTGTACAGATGTTGTGACAGTTGGTCGGTGTGGTATTAGCCCCGCCCCTCCTCCACTGTGATTGGACGGCTGGGACAAAAGTGACAGTGATGAGCGCTGCGTTTTACCCAAAGTTGAACATTTTTTCAACTCTCGGGCGACCAGTAAAAAACGCCGGGCGCTCGGCGCTTCAGCGTGAAAAAACTGCTCAGCGCCTCGTTACGCTCATGGCGTTTAAAAAACGCGGCACACCCATTGAAAACAATTGAAAACATACGCTAGGCGCGTGGAAAAACGCTTTGATGGACACACGGCCTTTGATTATGCATTGTGTTATGTATTTAGACAGATGAAGACTAGCTTGACTACACACAAAAAATACTGTAGCTCGAAAATAACTGTGCATGTAAACATACTGACTGTTGTAACGACAAGATCTTTAAAAATTATCAACAACTCAACTCACCTGCGTGATATGCAACAGAGCCTCGACTCCAGCCCGGATGCCTGTTCTTTGGGTAATCCTGACAAAAGAGAGGGAGAATAAGACACTAATAATTAGACAGCAGTCTGGTTTTATAGATACCAATGATGGATTTACTGCAAACACGAACTTGCGACGCTTTCACTTTCAACAATCTCACTCAACACTTTCATATTAATGTGGAGAGATAATTGAGTTTTATAGCCAGAAAACGATTACAGCATTACAGCTCATTGTTTTAGGTTTAAGAATTGCAGTCACATAGCAGCAAAGGTTATGTTTTTTTTATATACAGATACACCATGCCAGCACAAACACGAGGAGAAGCCAATATTTTGATAAGATCTGAGATGCAATTAACATGCAAAGATATTTTTGGTATTTCTCTGTTGTCATTTGAAGAGACTATTAAAGCCTATTTACATAAAAAATTGTAGCAACAATTCCCTTGAAGCCTGTATATGTAATGTACTCTAAAAAGCATTTTTAATGCATTGATAATACACCTTAAAATCTTCAAAAGATCCAAATTGTTAGTCACAATAAAATTAAAATTGACAATTTTTTTTATGTAATATTGCAGTATTAATTATAAATGATTTATCCATGCATATCATTATTATTATTTTTTTTAATTCATGTGAACTTGTAATCTTTAATTAAAGCTGCAGTCTGTCGCTTTTTTTGGGTTAAAAATTATCCAAAATACATTTTTGAGAAAATACATAACCAGCCAGTATTCAAAACTATCGGCTTTCTTTAGCTGGATTCAAAGCGGTAAGCTTGTAATAATGTTTTTAATTCCAGTGGTACTGGTGGATTTCCGCAGGAGTTTCGAGCATGTCTTTGCGTCATTACGTCACATCTGTACACATAAAGAAGAGTCTCGGCTAGAAGGCTATATTGAGTCATTACGTCACATCTGTACACATAAAGAAGAGTCTCGGCTAGAAGGCTATATTGAGTCATTACGTCACATCTGTACACATAACTGTACGTTCACACCGCCGCCGACTTGAGCGTCAAAGAAGCTCTGGCCGCCCTATCAAGGACGCTTGTCAAAAAGTACGGGGAAGCTTGTTGACGCTTTGAACGCTCTGACGTTGCAGGGAGAATAGAAGACATCTATCGACATCTAAGAGAATAGAAGACGGTCCCTATAAGCAAACAACGTCATGTCATAAATGATAGGAAACCTGTAGGAAACCCAGCAACGGCGATTGTTAGCTTCTCTTCCCTTTTCTCGGAACTAATGTTTTGGTAGGAATGAAAGTTTACATTAGGGATGCACGATGATATCGGGACAACATCGGTGTCGGCCGATAAAAGCTTAAAATGACCATCATCGGCATCGGCCGATATGAATATTTCTGCCGATGAGCCTTGCCGATAGGGTGGCGTGTTTCCTATGCGCACGTGACGACCGTGAACGAAGCATGAGCGCCAGCAATTTAAACTTCCAACTAGGGGTGTGCCGTGCGTCTCACGGTTGTTGATCGTGGACGATTAAAATGTCTCCACGATCTGCTTTTGAAGAAAAATCATAGTATCGTGCATTCTATCAGTTCAATTCTGGCGCCTTCATCTCAACATACACAACGCGACGTACATTCACATCACATCACATGTAAACGCAGAGGTAGAGTTACATTCACGGGACACCGCAATTCACAAAAGTTCATTATTTGCATGTGCGTCAAAGTCTTGCTAGGTAAACATGTCATTCACGTGCTGATGCGCTGTTCTAACATCCGCTTTTCTGAGCGCGTTACACCCGACGCTCACAGGAACTAAAGCCTGTCACAGAGTCTGCATACTGGACTAATCTTTCGAGTCTTATTGCGCTGATACTGTCAAATACACACACGGTTTACATAAACAAAGTTGGTTATGTCTAAAGTGAAAGCAAACAGAGAAAATCTGCTTGTCAAATGCGTGTATATTAGACGCGTCGCGTGCAGTTCTTAAAGAGACAGTAATAATATGCTGCCGCTTGTCCTTAAAGAGATACTGCACCCAGAAATAAAAATTCTGTCATTATTTACTCACTCTAATGTTGTTCCAAACCTGTATTCATTTCTTTCTTGAGCTTAAATATACTATGGAAGTCACTGAAGTACAGCAACTGATTGGTTAGCCACATTCTTCCAAATAACTTTTATAATTTCAACAGAAGAAAGACTTGAGAGAGTAAATGATGACAATTAAAATTTTGGGGAGAACTATCTCGTTAATGTTAATAAAACAACAAAACACAAAGAGGAAATCACTCACTGCTCTTGACTGAGAACTTTAATAGAAGCTTTAATAAGCTTTTTTTGCACTTAAAAAAGACACACAAATATATCGGTATCGGCATCGGGCAAAATTAGTCTGAAAATATCGGCATATCGAATATCGGTCAAAATCCTATATCGTGCATCCCTAGTTTACATTGTATGTTTCTCCGGAATCAGCCAGCGCGAAGGACGTCTATATTCCGATTGGTTGCTGGCGTTTTGCCGCTGCTTGCCACTGAACCGCGTCATAGCTCATTATCATAAAGTTGAGCTTCTTTCAACTTTCTGATTGACGCTCAAAACGACAGTATCCACACCGGCGCGGTGACTGACAGCTGCACACTCTCCTCAAACATTGTGTTCATCCGCGCTGTGCCGAATGACTGCAATTGCAGATTTCGAACAGAGATGGTGACAAAGAGGAAAAACTGCGGACTGCAGCTTTAAAAGAACTGTTTACTGAGATCCAGCAATAGCAAAATCACAACCATCAAACTTCAATTCATGATGGACAAAAGCAAGTCCCGCCCTACATTTTTTCTTGTTTGAGAAGCCATTTCACTCAAATAAACGTCACAGTAAGAAAGAAAACACTATCGCAACTTCCATTTCATGCCGACTTGTATCATGAATAAACAATATTTTACAGAATTAATCCACCTATGTTAATTCATGTTTGATTATAATACTTTTTTTATAATTAATAATTAATTAAAATTATTTTTTATGACTTAAGGTTAAAAATGCATATCTAGTAATTAACATTAACCAATATTAATATATTGTACACAACATTATACAGTATTTTAAATTGCTAGTTTATACCTAATGCATAATTGAATGAATTGAACCTTATAAAGTTTTGTAAAGTCTTTTAAAGTGTTGCTGAAACATTTGTCATCAGTTCTTTACTGAATTACGAGTACAAAATTATATACAATAAGATATTATGTAATAATAGATAATTCATTCACAGTTCAAAGTTGTTTTTTTTGATTTGCTAAATCCATTTATGATTTAGTGCCTCCCCCCCAAAAAAAGTCTCATTATTATCAATGTTGAAAACAGTTGGGCTGCTTAATATTTTTGTGGGAACCATGATCGATTTTTTTTTAACATTAGAAAATTCTAAAGAAATAATTTTAAAATAAATATTTTGTAACATTTTAAATGTCTTTACTGTCTCCGTGTGCTGGCATTTCTGTAATCTGGTCCAGAGGATTACATGGGCATCTCTCTCTGTTTTGGTTAAGGCTGATAGAGGGTTGTGTTATGGTTCAAGTCGAGCTCTTTTAATCTGTTTATCTAATAAGGAAGAGGAGTAAACACAGACCAGGGGGACTTAAAACTGATTTATTCACGATCTAAGCTCGGACCCAAAACGGACAGATGATTTAAATGAGAGCCACAGTAAGGTGACGCGTTTAACATCCCTTGGTCGCTTTCCACCCCACTAGCGCTATATCGGCTCCAGTGCAGTGAAGTTGTGCAACAGAGCGCGCGAGGATGATGATGATACCTTAGGCGAATCTGACAAACAGATCTAAACATGTAGAGACAATCGAGTGGCGCTCTCTGGAACAACACATGAGAAAGTAAACTGTTTGCAAACATTACTTAATTTCAATTGAGTATACATCTGCTCCCTGACAAGGTGAAAAATGATAGTGCATTTCGTGTATTCGTACGATTACATCTGTGCTCTATATCAAGTACCATGTATAAACACACAAGCAAACAGACACTTCAACATGCCGCGCAAAGCACATAAGCCATCAATCACCTCGCTCGCCCCAGCGACCCACATAACAGTTTTTTTTAAATCTGTCAAATGAAATTATATACCACATACTCCTGTTTGAGGAGAGGAGCTATTCATGCATATAGTGTTTTGGCCCCCTGAGGACACTGCAAAAGCCATTAGAGAGAAGCATCGAGCTTCCAAGAAACACAAACAGTAGCATATGTGTCCGTGGCAGAGCCATATCAGATCCACCCGGGGGCTTTTATGTGCGATACTTGAGCTGCCTGCATTTCCACACTGTGGCAAAGACAACAAGTAGCAGAGAGGCTGCCGGTGGAGGCAGATGCACATCTGCACATGACATACAGAGCAGAGATTAGGCCAAGTGGGTACCTGCTCCCAAACACCACAATACGGGCGCTGGGAATGGCATCTGTGCAAGCTCCTGTCATCACGAAACAATGAACTATGAGCACTTTTAGAAAATGAACTCTTAAAACACTTTTAATTTGACCTCTGACAGTGTATATTCATACATCACAGGAGAATTGTCATTTCCACCACACTTTAAATTTAACACGTCTTAAATTTGTGTTAAACTTGTGTTTCAATGTTCTGTGATGGAAATGATGGTAGTGGAAATTACATTTTAATTACAGATTGGCTGGAAATGACAATAAAATTCTGTTCAGTTTTCTCAGTTTCATTCAACAAGGACGCATTAACTTGATCAAAAGTGAAAGTAAAGAGATATACATATATATATATATATACACACGCATACATACATACATACATACACACACAACAGTTAGTTCAGGTCCTTGTATCTGAGACGCCTTAATAATGATGTTTTTAAGTGCTTTAAAGTAAACACCCAAACATACAGTAAAATGGAGCACTGGAATAGGTCAGATGGATTGGTGACAGATAGACAGATTGTGTTCCTTGCCAAACACTTCAAGAGTTGATCTCCACTTTTGAATGTTTCCAAAATAAATGAGGACACCAGGGTCAGGAACACACACTCCCTCAATTGCTCCATGGGAAGTGCTAGAGAGCTAGCTGAAACCGAAGCCTGCGGTGCCGGATGAGAGCAGAGGAAAGGGCTGGTGAAAGAAGGGAAGGTCAGGAGGTGATAAGGGTTGGACCCATTCACGTAGACATGACTGCCGAGACTCCGGTACGCACCTCCGCCCCTTGTTAGAACCCAGAAAATCTTTGTCTTGCATCCTAGCAACCCAGTGTATATTCCGGATGCATGTGTACAAGCTTGTACGGCCAGGTCCAGTCCCCGTTCACAGGGGGTCAGGGTTCAGTGATTGCAGATAAGAGCTCGGCTCTTCCTCTCCACATCCGCCATCATCCTCAGACCGAAACCAGGACTATCAGACAGCAGACTAGCTTATAATTCGGCCCAACTGATGTTCCCACCACAGTAGAGATCAAGTCATTAAAAAGGTTGGTCACCATTTTGTTGTTGTTCCTCAAACGTCAGAGGTGATACTTGCGCACTTGATGTTCTAACAATTAACAACCACATTGTTTGCAAACGCCTCTCCAGACACAGGATGCAGGGAACACAGGGTACACATCTAATGAGAGTAAACAGTAATTAAGCAGCTATGCTGTACCTGATATTTGATATGTAATGAAACACAGATGCAAAGTTCCAGAAAAAGTCAAAATGTCTCCGTTTCTCTGAGCAACCAATGGCCTTTCCACGATTCGACACAGCAGACTTGCCTACTGTCTGCAGTTCCCAACCTGAGACTAATTACCCTTCACTTTCTGGTACAGAACGTCAGGAAGAGAGAAGAACACAGCGCAGTGTTCCTGTTCCAACCCTGCATGATCACTACATGACTTTTACTGACTAAAGGAATAGTTCGCTCAAAAAAAAAAAAAAAACTCTGCCATCATTTACTCACTCATGAACAAGGGTTATTATTGTTAACTATTAAAAACATTTTTTTGGTCATTGAATTAACCCTGAAATAAAACAAATGGTAGATTAAAAACTTAATTGTTTTAAGTAAGTTAAAGCACAGAATTTACTAACTGGAAATAAAAACTAAATCTAAATAAATTAATATGGAATAAAAATAATTTAAACCTAAATAATGATATACAATCTAATTAAAAAAATGACAAAGCACATAAAATTACAAAAAATTACTAAAATTAAATTAAAAAATAAAAATATAAAAATAAAAGTATTAATACAACTATGATGATATATACTGTAAATAATACTGTCATGATCCCTGTATGAATTTCTTTCACAAAGTTCAAGCTGCTCTTTTTCATACAACAAAAATGAATAACCAAGGGCTGTCAAGCACCAAAAATGACAAAAAGTGACTTTAAAACAATCTAAAAGGTAGTCCAATGACTTACATTATGTTCTGAGATTTGAGAGCTATGCCAGAGGGGAGGATTTTTAGTAAATAATGACTAAGAATTCTGGTCTCTTGCTCATACATGACTTTGTAGGGCTTTAAAGGAACACGATGACTTTTTGGGTCTTTAGCTTATTCACCGTATCCCCCAGAGTTAGATAAGTCCATACATACCCTTTCACCCTTTTCTGACGCACCCACCGCTAGCCTAGCTTAACACAAAGACTGGAAAAATGGCTCCAGCTTGCATACTGCTCTGTTGGCGTTATTTTGTCACTTATTGGGAGCAGTATGCAAGCTGGAGCCATTTACTTCCAGTCTTTGTGCTAAGCTAGGCTAGCGGTGGGTGCGTCTTAATAAGCTTAAGTCCCAAAAAGTTGGTGTGTTCCTTTAACAAAGACTTGTAATATTGCATATGAGCCATCTGGACTCCATTCATAATGCATTTCTGGAGCTTGGCAGCCACTGGTCACCATAGGGGCTTTCAAACAGGGTGGTTAAAGGAACTAGCCACCAGGGTGGTCCCCAAGGAAACTAGAGCCATTTTCCTGGTTGTATTCGCACCGCCAGTAGGAACTCTAAAGTGACGTAAGCTGGCCGACAACGACGTCATTTAAGCGCGACATTAACAACATCAACAACTGTAAGATGGAGGACGCTGTGATCAGAGCTGTGTTTTTGTTGTGTATCGTGGGTTTCGTGATAACTGAGATAGAATGTAGTCGTTTAAGTTATGCGATTGAAAGATTAAAAAGGAGGGCTAAAGGCCCTTTCACACCGAGCACGGCGTGATAAAGTGAATCGCAGACGAACAGAGTTTTCACACTGAACAGGAAACAACAACTGATTGCCTTCAGCTAATTGAACGTGCAATAAAGTGGATTTTGATCAAATAATGGGCAGACATGCATTATTTGTAGTGTTTTATAATAAAACATAAAACATAGTGACGTACATTTGCATCGCCTAATCTCGCTCAGTGTAAAAGGGCCTTAAGAGACGAAATCTGCTATGACAACTTGCAGTGATACACATCACCAATGCTGAGAAAAGAACACAATGTGTTTGTGGAGTTAGTTTGTAGAGTCAGTATATGTAAACTATGTTTACACGGCTTTTTACACTTATGTCACTGGTAAGTGTAAAAGTAGGAGCTAATTTAGCCCCCCTAAAAGGCGTTACTAGAACTAAAATCGTTCCCAGATCCACAAAAAGCAGATACTTCAGCCATTAGTTATAGGAACTGTGAAAAGTTTCTCCGCTGCGAAAGCCCCTCATTTGACAGAAGAAACAAAGTTATGGAAAAGTTATGACAGAAAACAAGTAATGAGAAAAACTAGAGGATGAGTAAATGATGACAGAGGAGGGAGTTATTCATTTGAGCTTAACAGCAAGGTGATTCTCTCAAACCACTGTTTTATTTGCACACTGTGCCTCAGGGCCTGTCAAACTGTAACTGTTATGAGGTCGCAGTGTTGTGGAGCCGCATTTGCAATATTGGTGTATATCCAGAGCTTACTGTACACATCCATACTTGTTCAGGCCAAAACCACAGGGAATTTGATCAAAATACTTTACAATTGCCAAAAATACCTTAAAAAAACTAAAAAACTAAATGGCATTCGCAATGCATGATGAAATGTGACAAGTATTACAGAGCATTTAGGAGAATATACCGAAGGATGGGAAATGTCATGCATGTGTGCATGCACTCCCTACATTAATCGATTTTGCAAACACTTTTATCAGAAGAAACTTTTAAATGAGGAATAATAATTGACTTACTCTTCTTGCCAGGCCCAGGGCGATGTAGCACTTCTCTCCAGAATCCACAATCTCCACTTCAAAGTAGTGACTTCGTGTTGTGAGGGGCTGCCGGGCCTGGGCCAGACCCACGTCCATGATGCTCTTCCCTTTCCCAACATATTCCAGAAGCTGTGGCAGAACATATCATAGCCTTAATCAGACTTAATTTAGATACATTATAGCGTATTAGACATCATTACAAATGTTGTAATCTCGAGATTTCAACTGTTTGCTCAAATAGAAGTAAACAGGATCTTGTTGGGTGGATTATCTGGTCAGTTTAAAGTGTAATTTGGCATAAACCAAATTAATCTATAAAAAATAGTCAGCCTGGCTGTGATTAGTCCTTCGGATGAGACGATTAACCGAGGTCCTGACTCTGTCACTTCGGAAAAGTAGGGGTTTAACCCCGGCATCCATAAAGAGTAGGGGTGTAACCCCGGTGTCCTGGCCACATTCCACCCATTGGCCCCTGCCAATCATGGCCTCCTAATAATCCCCATCCACTGAATTGGCTCTATCACTCTCTCTCCTCTCCAACTATAGCTGGTGTGTGGTGAGCGCACTGGCGCCGTTGAACTGTGGCTGCCGTCGCATCATCCAAGTGGATGCTGCACACTGGTGCTGGTTGAGGAGAGAACCCCTGATATGATTGTAAAGCGCTTTGGGTGTACAGTAGTACATATGAAAGCGCTATATAAATGCCTCATTCATTCATTCATCCTGGCCAAATTTGCCCATTGGCCTTTTCCCATCATGGCCTCCTAATCATCCCCATATAGTGATTGGCTTCATCACTCTGTCTCCTCTCCACCAATAAGCTGGTGTGTGGTGGGCGTTCAGGCGCACTATGGCTGCCGTCGCATCATCCAGGAGGATGCTGCACTTGGTGGTGGTTGAGGAGATCCCCCTTCTATGTAAAGTGCTTTGAGCACCTAGAAAAGCGCTATATAAATGTAATGAATTATTATTAATTATTAGTAAATGCTGTGCTGCAAACACACCTGGCCAAGCTTACATTTCAGATAAAGTCAGTAAGATTTTTTTAAAGAAATGAATACTTTTATTTAGCAAGGATGAATTAAATCGATTAAATGTGACCATAAAGATGTTTGTATTAATACAAAATTATTATATAACAAATATATGCGTTTCTTTTTAACTTTCTATTTATCAAAGAATCCTGATAAAAAAATCATCATCGTTTCCACAAAAATATTAAGCAGTACAACTGTTTTCAACATTGATAATGTTATTAAATGTTTCTTGAGCAGCATATCAGGATATTAGAATGATTTCTGAAGGATCATGTGACACTGAAGACTGGAGTAATGATGCTGAAAATCCAGCTTTGCTTAAATTTCAGTTTAAAATATATTAAACTAGAAAAGTTGTTGAATTGTAATAATATTTCACAATATTACTGTTTTACTGTATTTTTTAAATCTAATAAATGCAGCCTGGGTGAGAGTAAGATATTTCGTAAAAAAACACACAAAAAAAACATATATATATATATATATATATATATATATATATAAAGAAAAACAAACCCTGAGTGGTGTTTTGAGCTCAAGGCACTTAGAGAAGAATATTTAGAAAAATAATCTACAATAAATTAGATCAAGTATGGGCAAACTCAAACACAGGAGTGATGACACATATTCTGACTGATTTTTCCATCAGGTGTGTTAGGAAAGGTGTAATAAGATTATTAGAGAAGACAAAAAGGTTGACATGTCTTCAATAAGTTCATGGAATACCGAGGGTGGGGCAAGGTCTTTCAATTACAGACATGTGAGTGGTATCGACAGCCCCACCTATGAAAAGAAATTCACCAATGGAACAATTATGACATGGCAAGAGGTCAAATGCCTGTCATATATGTGATATTATAAAATACAAATGGAAAACATTTCATCACTTGCATGCATGAAGGTCTTTTTTACTGTTGTGATGTGGCAGATTAAGAGGTTTATTAGATTTTAAGATGGTGAAACTACCGTTAATGCAAGGTTGAGCCATCTCCTAAAGACCATCTCAACCTGGCCAAGCCTAATGCATGCTCAAACGTTCAATTCAAAGGCCAAATCTTCAACACTTTAGGTTAAACCTTGAGAGCTGCCTACTAGATGACACTTTTAGGCATCATATGTCTGTTCAAATGATCAAAGGGACAAAAATGTGGCCAAACTTAATGAACTGCCAACCCAAATGGCTTCTTTGGACAACATATGCACTTCTGGGACATTCAATTTAAAGCCCAAAACTAGACTGGTTATCAAATGCATTCTTAAACAGCCAAAACTTCAAAAGTTAAAACCTAGTGAGTTGCCTACTTAAGACTGTATTATTGGACATTAACTTTTAACTCGGGTTACAACATGAACAGCAATTTTGGGCATGACATAATTGTTTAAATGGTCAAAAAGGAGAACCTTAGTGAGCTGCCTACTTAGACATCATTAAACTTAAGATTAAAACCCAGACAACATTTATGGCCATCATATGCACAAGTGTTCAATTTAAACTTTGACACCTCAGATTACAACCCAAACGAAAAAAAAATTGACATGATGATACGAGTGCTCTTCCACAGTTCGAATTAGAAACTAGTAAGCTGCCAATCTAGACATCATTTTTGGGCATCATGTGCACATTTCAAAGGTTCAATTTAAACTTCAGCTTCAGATTAAAACCTAGACAACATTTTTGCCCGTCATATGACTTCTGAATGATCAAAAAGGACACAAACTTAAACCTAATGAGCTGCCAACCTAGACAGCACTTTTGGGAATCACATGCCTATGAGGCCTAAAAATGCTACTGCCTTTCTCTCATGTTCTGTCTCTGGCCACACAGCTTCTAAACTCACAACACAGCATCATGATTACTTTCAGATTACAACTGGTTGTCATTAATTACTTAAAAAATTTCAGTTTGCAATGACAGAATCAGCACTTTGTTGGTGCAATGGAAAGATTTCTCTGATGCCATCTACAACAATCTTAGCTATTATTGTTTACCCCGGTAAATGACTGCAGGTCAGAAGGAGACTCTGACAAAGGGCCTCGTACAGCAACATGCCGGTTATGACCACATGTTTTATAAAACACAGAAAAGTGCGTGCAAAAGACAAACGCAGGCAGGAACAGATTGCTGCGAGTTGTCCAAGAATATCCCAAACTGAAATCAAAAACACTGATGAACTACAGAAAGTAAGACGCACAATCCTGCAAACAATCTGGCATCACTTTGATCAAAGCAGGCTTGATCATTCCAACTAAACTGATCAGTGTTCAATATGGAAGAATGTGTGTTTCTCAAACAGAAGTTATTCTCTTCTCATCTCCTGATGCTCACTGGAGAATGCACCCACCGAAGGGCTGAAATCCATTAACAGTATTAATCGTGTGTTGCTTTTTATAGACGCAAAGTAGTGCTTTTTTTCTGCCTACACCCGACTCTTCTTTTCAACATCAACATCTTCAAGTTTTCGTGCCAGGACAGTTGCCTGCTCAGTTGAGGATGGAGGCAAAATTGCACCTAGTCACACATTCCTGCCTCCTTGATGCTGAGTAATGGGGAGGTTGTCTACCTTTATACCACTCCTAACGGCTCTCAACAGCTCCCAGCATGCTTGAATGACAGCGCTGACAGATCTGATATGCTCTCGAACGTTACCATCCCCAGACCTGCGTGGAGGCGGCAGCTTGTTTTGTTGACCCGCTGCCCCGGCAACAGGTGCAACATTGCGAGCAAGCCCCACAACTTCCTGTCAGAGTACGGAGAATGTGGAAAAGGTGGAGGACACAAAGAGGGAGACGCCTACAATTGGAGCCACTGAGATGTTTGTCTTGTTCATCACTTGTCTTCAGCCTTTAAAATAAGATCTATGTTTTGACAGCATCAGATGATGTTGTTACAAGTTGTCTGTCGGCTAGCAGTTACTAACAGTCAGTCTAAACACAATTTATCCTCACTTCTTCATAGTGTTAAGCTGAACTTGGCATTCAGCTGCTTGTCTAATTGACACAACAATATATTAAAAGCCTCAACATGCAGACTCTTTTTTGTGGAGTGCTGAGAATTCCTGTCACTTTCCAAAGATGGTCCTAAAAAGCAAAACAAAATGATTTCATATGATCTATGATAGAAAAGTATTTGGTATGTTTACATAATGCTATCCCAGTACAATTCTTAAATGTTTTTAGGACAAGATGTGGCAGGAATATCCCCATCCATTCATTTATTTTTAGATAAAGGACACATCAATGTCTACTTTCACATCATCATCCCCATGACCTGCTCACTGGTACTCAGCAGGTCAAATAATAAAGGAGCAGTAGAACAGCCACTGTTCCTTCCTACACACAAAAAGTTAGAGTTAGAGGTTGTTCAGATAGGACACAAGTTTTCAAGTTAAAAGAAGTTCAGCATGTCACGTCCACTCTGCTGTGTCTAGCTGCGAGAAAGCAAAAACATGTCAGTCTGCACTGTTTTTTAATTATTTTTCTACATAAATATGCACTTGACTTTGGTCTTTGACCATTACCGTTTGCCTCGCTAGGACATTTTTAAGACGCCAAGACAAGTTAAAAAGATTAAGATAAATGTGCCACTGCTGGCTGTGGAAACCAGCATGACTTTCCGAAGGAGATTCATAAGATTTCAGGATTCCCCCATTCAAGTAGATAGGACTTGGTCCTTGGATGGTGTTGCAAATATGGCCACAGAGTGAATCGACTTTCCTTAAAAAGGACTTTGCCAGCAGCCAAGCCATAATGTAATGTAAAGCATCTGTTGAAGGATGTTTCATATTTATGGCTTAGGGTGCGGTAAAACTACCTGGGCTAGAAAAACAGCTACATATAGATTTATAAACCCTTCACCGTTTGACTGGATAATTTTAAATGTTGTCAGCATACTTAATTTCCTAGGCAAAGATATTAGCCAATCATAACAAACACCGAGCAGCACCAAAGCCACACGTTTAAATTGATAGAGACAGAGTGAAAAATGTATTCATTACCAGGATTAAAAGAAATGTGAGTTATAAAATTAGATTACTTTTTTCATGTAACGAGTAATGCATTACAACAAAATATCTGAGTTACTTTTTAAATAAG